CTGTCTCACTGTCTCACTGTCTCACTGTCTCTCTCTCTCTCATCTCTCTCATCTCTCTCATCTCTCTCATCTCTCTCATCTCTCTCATCTCTTTCTCATCTCTCTCATCTCTCTCTCCTCTCTCTCTCTCTCTCTCCTCTCTGTCTCTCGTCTTTCCGTCTCTCTTCTCTCTCTTCTCTCGCAGGAGGATCCGGGCAAAGAGCCACATATAAAGGACTCTTCACCCCTGCCTCCAAAAAGAGCGCCGTGTTTTTTCCTACCTCGCTGCCCTCCACTTTCCCATTCTGGAGCGCTAGCTTTCGCCCCCCCCCCTTGGCCTCAAGTTTGCATTCTTCACTTTCAGCAAGCAACAACAGTGGGAGCAAAGGAGGTCCCTGACAGTTTCTTTTGATTTGTTTTTCTTTGGTCTCTTTATATAGTCTCCATAAAAACGATCAAAAAGTCTTGATTGATGAAAAGCTTTGGTGGAGGTGGCCCAGTTCAAAAGTTTGCGGCGCTTCCTGACAGAGAACAACATCAGTGAGGAACTTTGTCAGCGGGTGACGCGTTTTCTGCAGTATAGCTTTGAACAGAAGAGGAGTGGGAAACCGTGGGCGGCGGGCGCGCGTGGCGAGTGCAAAAGCAACGCACTGGCCCTGCCAGACGAAGGGACCATAGCGGCATCAATGGTCATCAACACAAGACCACACTATACCACACTGAACATTGCACGCATTTTAACAATGGTTAAGCTTCTTGGACAAACACTTCTTCAGCATTTGCAATGTGTCAAGAATGGTATAATATGGTATAGTGATATAGTTTCCCTTTGTGAAACTTGGACAGGAGTGTGCAGGCTGCAGATCAGAACCCTCCGTTGCTGGAGATGCTCTCAAAGCCTTTGCAGCGTCACATGGCCTGATGTGGATGGATTTAAGCCGATCCCCTGTCCTGGAGCCTTTCTCACTTCTTTGATATTTTGATATTGTGAATGTGTTTTTTTTGTGATGCTAGTTGAGTTGTATACCCGTTGAGGCCCAAGCTTTCTTCCAAGGAAGATCAACCTTTCATTCTCATTCTCAAGGGAGCAAGTTTTCTCTTTTTCCCCAGATAGCGAAGCTATAGGGGTTCTTACTTCTCAATGGATGGGTTCCTGATTGCAGAAATTGGCTGCCGCTGCCGCTGCCGCCTTGTCTCCCAAGCTTGTCTCCCTTCATGATTTCGCTTCTGCCGCCTTGTCTTCCAAGCTTGTCTCCCTTCATGATTTCGCTCTTGGCTGCCGCTGCCGCCTTGTCTCCCAAGCTTGTCTCCCTTCCTGATTTCGCTCTTGGCTGCCTCTGCCGGCTTGTCTCCCAAGCTTGTCTCCCTTCATGATTTCGCTCTTGGCTGCCTCTGCCGCCTTGTCTGTGAAGCTTGTCTCCCTTCATGATTTCGCTCTTGGCTGCCGCTGCCGCCTTGTCTTCCAAGCTTGTCTCCCTTCATGATTTCGCTCTTGGCTGCCGCTGCCGCCTTGTCTCCGAAGCTTGTCTCCCTTCATGATTTCGCTTTTGGCTGCCGCTGCCGCCTTGTTTGTGAAGCTTGTCTCCCTTTATGATTTCGCTCTTGGCTGCCGCTGCCAGCTTGTCTCCCAAGCTTGTCTCCCTTCATGATTTCGCTTTTGGCTGGCGCTGCCGCCTTGACTCCTAAGCTTGTCTCCCTTCATGATTTCGCTCTTGGCTGCCGGTGCCGCCATGTCGCTTTTGGCTGCCGCTGCCGCCTTGTCTCGCAAGCTTGTCTCCCTTCATCATTTCGCTCTTGGCTGGCGCCGCCGCCGTGGTTCCCAAGCTTCTCTCTGTTCCTGATTTCGCTCTTGGCTGCCGCTGCCGCCTTGTCATTTTCTTGCCTGCCTTTGACGCGGATGCTGTTGTAAGATGATTTAGGTCTTGTTTACCTTTTCCATCCTTTTGCCGGCTTTGAGTGGGATGTCTCCCAAGCTTGTCTCCCGCTCTTGCCATGCTATCCAACTTTTCTTGAAGTGCTAATTTTGTGCTCGATTCTTTTGGCCTCACCGTCTCACCACTCCAAGCCAGCAGTCCAAGCCAGGCCTGCTGGGCCTTCACGATGACAAATGTTCATCATCAAAAACCTCGGTTGGTCAATTGAACCGTCGCCTTATTGGCCAAGCAGGCATGCCTCGCTGGTGGGATAGGTGCGTCTTGCTCCACAAGGGATGCGTCTGGGCCAAAGGTCCATGGTGGCACTCAGTGTGCTGCAAAGCTTCCAGCGCCGCCTTGGCACTCTTTTGTGGCATCTTGACCCAGCAGGGCTCACACTTGATCGCGCTCGACAGCAGTCACTTGTTGCCATCCACGGCATCCACTGCTCCTTGAGTCTGAGCAACCATGGCCTCCACGACATTGTGAAGGGACTTGACGGGTTTCCCTGGGCACTCTCTCCATGAGTTGCACCTGGCACTGATGGCCTGGCAGCGCACTGATAGAGGTCCAAAAATGCTTGCCAGGGGGCCGCATTCCTTTGGTTCAGCGTTCTGAACACCTCACCCTTGCCCCAGCAGGGCGCTCAGCATTGCCGACTGCCAATTGGGTTTATGAAGTGGTCCTTGTCCTCTGCATTTCACACTCCCTGGCTCCGAAGGAGTCACTCAGGTGTTTGTCAGGGACATAGCTTGCCTGTAGCCGGCTCCGCTGGCGCCAGGTGCACGAGCCATTAACTTGCCACTGCCCTTGCTGCCGTCCAATCACAACCGCCACTGCAAACTGCGTGGCCTTGACAGCAATGAAAACTCTCCGAGAGTTCAGCAAAGCAATAGGCCATTCATGTGCAAGCTCACCATGTTTGAAATGACTCACTGCCCTCAACTGGGAAAAAAGACCACTCGGAGTTGCACCATGCCCCCAACGCCCAGCTCGCTCCAGGGCGTTCCCCAGCTCTCCAGACGGCACTGCCCGGCTCATGGCACAAGGGACATTTAACCTGCTGACCGTGAGCATGAGTCCAGAGGGATCTTTGGGTTCAGGCTTTTCAGGGCAGTTGCCGCGTTGTCTCCAGACTTGAGCATCTTCCGAAGAGAGACCCATCCAAAGGCCGTTCAACTTCCGCCGCCATGGCCTTTGATTCTCTCCACTCCTTGCCAGTTCAGCTCCTTGGTCACCGGTCAGCCCTTGAGCCAGCCGGTTCAATGTTGAGGTAGGCCGGTTGTTCAGCATCTCCATGCATGGCCAGCAGCTCTGCAAATCGCCCTGAAAGGCCATGACTGAAGTCTGCCGCAGTGTCCCCCTTCAGTGCTGGAGATATCTCTGCTGGTCATCAACAACATCCAAGGAGTCAAGGAGCCTCCTTTTTGATCTGTGAAGCCCTCCACAACCCTGTGGAGCTAATCCCTTGGCCTCATTACCCTAGCTGACCGCTGAGTGGACAGCCTTTCCACAGGCGGACCCTGACCGGCTTACTGTCAATCTTCAACCTCATCAACTTGCCAAAGCACTTCTTTACTTTCAACAACCTCTTTTGCACAGTGCTCATCCTGCTCCGGCGCCCGAACGCGACCGAGTCCGGAGATGAGGATGGTCATCGTGGATGCACCTCCGCACCTCAGCTGTGGCCATGACAGACACGTGTCCAGCCGGCCAGCCGTGGATTCAGCAAGTCTCGCTCCCTGGCCGGCCGTGTACCCTGGCCAGGTGCCCTTCTTGGCCGCTCAAATGAATGTGCATTGCCCACAAAGTCAACACTGTTCCACCCACACGTCAAGGTGCACCAAGGGATGACCATTTTCTGTGAACTGTTGGAGGATGGCCAGGACCGGCTATCAGTGGTACCGTGGCCTCACGGACATCCAGAGAAGAGAGAGCATCTTGTTCACGCACCAATTGGAATGCTCAATACTCGTCCAGAGTGTGAAGCCAGGACGTCAACTGTTCAAAGGGATGACATCCATCATCTCTATCGCCAGGAGGTTCACAATGTCTGCAACACAAGACTGCAACGGCTGTGAGCCTGCAAACATGGACTGTGACATACGGCCCAAATCAGGATCAATCCATGCACCACACACTGCATTGAATCACGAGCATGCCAAACACTTACCCAAAATGTGCATTCACAGAAACAATACCACTCTCGAAGGACCCCTTGTGCACTCCCAGACTGGCTTCATTTCTTTTACCATCAGACATCTCAAATCTGTCCAGTGTTATCCATGCTTTGAGGCATCCTTGAGCAGCATCTCGGCTAAGTGCCGCTCCAACCCCTTTTGCTGATCTGCATTGAAGACAATGCCAGCTTGCCCCATGGCCTTCAACACATGCTCTTACGCGTTCGTGTCCAGCACCGTCTCTGCCGTGGTGAAAGGCTCAATCTCCTCCGCCTGCAGGCTCTTGGCACAGCCGACTGCTTACTAAGCTGCTTCTGCTCACGGTCGCTGGCCTCCTGGACCTGATTAAAGTCTTCAAGCAACAGTTTGTACTGATCCTTGGCACTGTCGACCCTTCTTTGCAAAGACTGCTTCTTGTTGGACAACTGACATAGTTCCCCAACAGTGGCCTTCAACTGTCCAGTCACATCAGCCGGCTCTGGTTTTGGCGGAGTCACCAGGTTCTCCACAGCAGCCTTCACCTGCCTCAGCAAGCCCTGAAGGTGAGCCTTGAGAATCTCCTTCAACGGCTGAAGTTTTGGCTCGGGTGTGAAGTCCAGTCCAACACTATTCAACCCATCCTGGACATCTTTTCTCAACGACGACCATCCCTTGTTCAAAAGGTCTTCCACCGGGCTGTGAACGACCTTCTTTCTAAGCAGTCCAGGCGGTGGTTCAATCCCTTGTCCTCTGTGCAAGCCCTAGGCCCTAGCCTCCTCCACGGTGAAGCAAGGGCAGTTCCTTGCCTATAGCCTAGCCATCTTCACAGGCTACGGGGTGTGACACTTCTCACAGCACCACCTGTTCAAGGATGAGATACGATCTTCCCCGATCCAACACTCCGGGGACCCACTGCAAATCACACAGCTCCTGCTTTTGGTGGTCTTCCCCATCTTAGCTAGGGGACACCATGGGAGCTGCTCCTTCAAGAAGCGGTAGAAGGTAGAGTGACCCATCAAAGGCCTTCAAATAGTCCGAGCCCGCAAGGTCCGCCGTGGCAGCTCCACCCGCGTGAGGTCCGGCGTGCCAACAAGCTTGAGAAGCGCAGGAGCCGAGAGCTTGCCAAGCTTTCCCTCCCCTCCCTCCTCCCTCCGTCTGGCTGTCTCTTTGTGGTGTCTCTCTGTGGTCTTTCTCTGTCTGTGGTCTCTCTCTCTCTCTCTCTCTTAGACCATTGACGCCTCGCATCTTTTAGCGCGAGCCATTCTGAGGCGAGCTTCAGCTGGAGAGACACCGGGAGTGCCTATTGCAGAGTGCGTTTTTCAGCAGCATGTTGCATAGTGACTTCAATGCCATTGGTGACTCGGCACAGGGGTCCTCAAATTTTTGTCAGCCCAGGAGGGTGTGGTCCAAGAGTCTTGGCAACTTGCAGGTGTGGCTTAGAAAGAAGCTACAGGAAGGGCCGTGCTGCTGGCTATCCACTGGTCAGGTGGTAGCGAGACCTTTGCCTTTGCCCACTTTAGTCACCACCCACATCCACCCACTTTAGATGATTTCCAGACGACAAATACCTCTGACCAGATGATCTAGCCACATCTAGCCTTTGCTCCGCAGATGTTCTGCGCGACTTGGCGGTCTCGGCGCTGTGCCACGCCGTGGTGGCGAAGGGCGACGTGGTCTTTGCCGCTGGCTCCGTGGATGCTGGACCTTCAACCGGGGGGGCCGGTGGAGCGGTGGCTTTTTCACCGAGGGAGCACAGACTGGTGTGAACACACGCAGAGCAGGTGTTTGGGATCCACATTCGGATGGGGACATCTCCGAATTTTTGCTGAGGTAGCTCGAGCAGGCGTATGGAGAAGAAACATGTCATAATTGGCCATAGTTATAATTAACAACATCATAAAACATCCAGGACATGGCGACACAGAATTGGAACACTCAGCACCTAAGGCCACTTCATGCTACTTTCTGGCGCAAGGAGACTTCAGCTATGGTCGAGTCGGCTATCCCACTGAGAGGCCTGGCAGGACGTGGATTGCTGAGATATGCCTATGGACCCCATGGCTCCACGTGCCCTCGGTGCAGAGGAGGGCGGATGGCGCATGGGAGTATGGAGGATGAAGCACCCAGCGATCAAAGAGGTCCTGCATGGTCTTGTTACCCTCATTGTGAGATAGATCCGTCAAAATCGAACCTCCCTTAACCAGGAGTGACGTGAATTCTCAGCCCATTCTATTCATGTCGGTTGAGATTCCACTCCGTTTGCGGTTTCGACCCAAACGGCCCAAACTGCCCAACGTCCTCTACAGCGCTTGAGAGTCTGCTGAGGTTGGAGACCTCGTGTCACGAGAGACAAGTCGGTTGATCTCGCTGGAACTGGACGCCTTCTGCAACTGCCTGGGCAAAACGCCGGAGATGCGGGAAATGGCCCGGGCGCATGGGGAGGAATATGTGGCGAAGGTGAACGCCTTGGAAGAGGCAGAACTCTCAGATTTATGGGATGAGGAGGTGGCAAGCTTCCCAACCCATTCTCATACTGCCTCTTGGCAACAGATGTGGGTGTGTATTAAAGTAAGGAGAGTCTCTTCATAGTTTGTTCGAACATCACCATGGAGTGGTGAAAGCATCACGAGATCAGGCTAAACGCCGTCAAATCGAAGACTCTTTTTTGTGCACCTACTCGCTGCACGAAGAATGTGGGCAACTAAACAGGTTGGATGGTCTTTCTATTCTACTGCAGGTCCAGATATTCATCTATAGAATTTATATTATACTGTAATATACTGTAGATCTTCGCACCTTGAACATTCTCTTGTTGAAGAACCACTGAAGCTTCCGAAGTTGATGGCTGATATCCCAACGGAAAGACCCACAACCCAAATGCTTGGGGCCCCAACATCAAAGGCGCGCAACTTTGTCTTTGGGAGTGATGTTTGGTCTTTTCTGATTGGCCCTTTTGGTTTGATGGCCAAGGTCTTGAGCCGTATTCTTCCTTTGAATTAGAAGGGCAATCTTCCACTCCAACCACAGAAGCTGAATGGGCCCTTGGGCAAGGGCAAGTTCAGTGACATGGGGCAGCCTTGAAAGAAGACCATAGAGAGGGTTGGGAGAGTGGGCCGGCTGCCTTCCACCCCAGCGACCCTAGCGGATGCCAGCTAGAACGAACAGTTGGCCGAACAGTTGGTCAGAAGAGATCGACGTCTCACACCGGCAGTTGGCCTTAGGCCATTCACTGAAGGGTCAAAACCCTCAAGGACCTGCTTGCCAAGGCATATATGATGTTGCGAACTTGTGTTGTGACCCACACCAAGTTATATCATTAAGGATTTCTTCCATAGTGGATTGACAGTGGATGACAGTGGATTGGATTGATGTTCGGCAGTATTTCCGGCTGTTAGTCTGGCACCTGCACTTCGAATTTAATCCGGCGCCAAGAGTCCTGTCGATATCTGATGGGTTCCACCCTGGAAGTAGAAGGACCAACACAAATACCAGAAACATGCTGAACAGAAACCGATCGCGGAAAGCGGTGCGACCGCTCCATCGCACTCAGTGGGCGTTATGACTGCATACTATTTGGAATATTCACACTGCTTCGCGGTCGAAGCACCAGTGCGGGCGGATTTTGTAACTTTTTTTTTCTCCCGATTTTCTTGCTTTTCGATTCTCGAATGGACGAACACATTTTGGAAGGCGCTATGGCTGGGCATGTTTGGTGAGGTTTTTGTCCAACTGTAACTCCCACACCAATGAAGAGTCTGTGGATTCTAGAACAATAGCCTAGTGGCTTGTCCATGGTGGAGTTTCGTGCCTGTGTGCCAACCAGGATTCTTAGCTTCAGGCAGATGTCAGTGCTAAATCAGTCGGAACAGTAGACTTTAGGAGCGAGCCAGCAAGATTTGCTTGCTAGCTGGTGAGTCGGAGCTCCGTCGCCAGCACCAGTCTTGTCATGACCGAAGAACTGCATATTTTTGTCTTACCCATGAGTATTTCGTGAATGCCTTAAGATTATTTTTCAGTACTTTCCTATTTGTTCTTTGCATGGAGGCAGAGGTGTTGTTGGCCCAGATTGTTGACAATAGGCACTATGACGTTATAAATCTTGAGGGCATGCCATTCGATCTGGCCTGCTGTTGCCGCAGGCTCCGTGGAGCATTGTGGCTTAACCGTGGCTGGCACCAACTGAGGGCTTGCGGAACCCCCCTTGCGCGGGCGCTGCCTTTCGATGGGCAATGTCTGCAGATCACTTTAAAATGGAGGCTTCCTTTTCAGCCCTTAGCATGCAACAGGGGAGATTCGTGGAAACGCAGAACATGTAAAAGTTCGATCAGACTGTTATTTAGGGCCACCTTCTCTTCAGGCAAGTGATGTAAGTTGATCTTTCCTCTCAACTTCCCAGCAACACGAGTTGAAAGCCAGAATCCAGTCTCCGAGTCTCCGCAAGTACGGCACAGGTGATTGGATTTCTGGCCTTATCATCTGTTTAGGGCAAACGATGATCGGCGCAACCAGGGGGCAAATCACTGACCTATCAAATGTGCGGGATTGGGCACTCACGTTCCCGCACACACCGATGAGCTAAGCGAGGGCGCACGACCGAGGAGTTTGCCAGGTCTTAGAGTCGAAGGCACTGACCCTCCCCCAAAACAACCGTGGAAGTGGAAAACCATGGAAAAGGGGCTATGGCCCACTTCCGTGATCGTTTCAGGGATGGTTTCAGAATGTTTCAGGGTGCTTATAGACTTTATGATTGATGTGAATTGATGCGTCGTACTTAAAAGCCCTATCAGGATGCAACGGTTCTTTTGAGCCATTTGGCCGTTCTGCTCACCGTCCACATCTTTCAATTTGAGCTTTTCAAGTTTTTGAGCTCGTTGCCAGCAATGGGCTAAGATTGGACCCATGAAATCCGAAGGATTCAGATATTCTCTGTGGAGTCAAGTGAATGCAGATTTGGATCGAGGAAAGAATCGGACATACAATATCTTAGAACTTTACCATATACTATAGACTATAGATGAACAAGCAAAGCTGTTTTTCATGTAAGCGCACTCCCAAGCAAAGAGTTCCGATCAAACGCGATGCCCGGCATCATCTGCGATACTGACTCTCCAGTCTTCTGTGAAGCCGGCGCCCAAAAAAGATGCGAAGACCGTCAAGAGAGTCTACAGTCTTTACGATATTCAAGTAGAGCACTTCACACACTTGGGGCACAGTATCCTATCGTCAGCGATGACAATCAAGTGCATGCCAAGTCGCAAGTTCCACGTGAAATCAGATCTCTGAAATCGAGGCCAAAGGTGCCGAATTTGAGCCCATTTCCGGCGCCTTTGAGCAAGCAGGCCGAGCGGCTGAGTGGGTAGATTTGGATGACATCAGTGCATCGGTCGTTGTTCAAACACCAGGGTGAAAACGAAAACGAGGTGGGCGGGTGATGGGAGGTGAGTAATTAAACATATACACATAATTACACATATAACATATCTATATATATATATATACTGCATGTATTTTTTCTTCGGCAGACTCCCGGGCAGAGCTCGCCTCTTGGTCCAAAAAGGTCCAAATCAAAAGGGCTGGGTTCAGCAGGTGAACACACCAGAAGACTTTCTTCCTATTTGCCACTGTGTGCGACACACCTGACATCTTTTACACTTCGCGTTCGTGAGTCGACGTGGAGTCGCCGTGGCAAGGGTTGTATTTGTCCGCGCTTTGTTGGCCTCCTAGTCTTTCCGCTTTACGCCCTGCCTGTTGTTGGCTTTGGCCCTTGAGGCCGGTGTGGATGGAGGTCCTGCAGAATCGAAGCGCCCGCTTGTCGGGGGCTCTACCCTTCCAAAATTGTTTTGGCAGGTATGGTCGCCCCCACAAGGTGGATGCCATTTTCATGTCCTAGATCGCCACCATTGCCGTCTTTTCTGTCCGATCTTGTCCTCGGCACCTCCAGTTGAGCCCACCCAGTTTTTTGGAAACTCTTAAAACCTCTGAGGCAACTCCCGGTCTTGGAAACTGAGGGCCGACGTACCTGTTCCAGCACCGTCGCGGTTGCGGAGTCAGGTGGCCTCACTGTCGAGGATCGATGGTCAGGTGTAGGACGGAGCATGCGCAACCACACCACGCCATATCCGCAACCACTGTTGCAGGTGTGAGAACAGCAGTCGGAGACAGAACCCTCCAAAATCATCCAAAGACGCCTAGTTGCGGGAAAGATACATGGACACTGTCACTGCTTTGGCAGAATCCTTTGCGCAATCCTTGTGCAATCCTGTAGATATCCGATATCCGTAAAACGAGATGAGGGGATTAATCCGACTTGGCATGTCTCAGCTTGGCTCGCCGACATGTCCGCTGACATGGCTGCCTTTGACCGCTAGATTTCTCGTCTCGCCGTCTCGCCACTTCTCCTGAATCTGGGTTTACAAGGACAAACATCGCATTATCTTTGTGACTGGTTAATCGCGTCTCGTCTCAGGCGGCCCACGCTTTCTCTACATGTTTGATGATCATTGGAGAGATATTGGAGTGATGGCATGTCAGATTTCAGTATTTGATTCTTCGTTTGTGTCTGAATGCAAGTAATTAACCGGTTTCGTACGTTTGTTCTTCACATACAACTATTTGTCAATCCTCCCGCCGATTAGTCGAGGTATTTTCAAGCCTTCAGAACAACGGAGACTTTTCATTTATCTTGACCTTTGACACAAGCTTGACAGGGAGACATCGCACATTTTTCATAACTTTTGTTTGGGTCCCTTTCTCGAGGTGCTGCTTCCACTGGCCTAGCTTGCTTTTGTTTCCTGTCCAGGAACTCACCCCAAGGACGGGCTTTCGACAGCATTGGGGCAAGATCACCAGCCTGTGAGGCCCAAAAAGCTGTGCTTGCGAGGAGTTGGTGAGATTTCCAAATGTGGTCTTTTCACCCTAAGTTTTTGTTCACCGTCATTCTGCGAAATATTTGAATGGGTGCGGTCTTAGAATATCTCAGAATGAGCTTTGCGTTGGAACACCCAGAGAGCCTCAAGAAACACTCAAACTTCAGAGTTGTTGCACATGGAATTCCTGGATTTCTAGAAAACTGAAGGAACATAAGGAACACCTTCTCATCATAACTTACATGATGTTCCTTGAAGTGGATCCATGAAGAGCTTGAATATATTCAATCGCCCCTCTCCTTGTCGACTTGAAAACTGCTCGAAAACTGGTAGGACTATGTAGGACTTAGATCATGGGTTTTGAACCGTCTTGAATGTCTGGCTGGTTGTATTTTGGAGACAGATCTTTGTGGTTTCTTGCTTGTTCTTGCTTGAAGAACCACCCAAGGGCTTTTTTTTCCCCGCATGCCGCGATTGTGGAGGAGTTGGGTCGCAGCCAGATTTTCCCTTTTAGCTAGAGATGAGGCTTGAACAAAATCTATGGTATGGGTTGGCCGCGATTCCTTTGGCCTGCACTCCCAGGACCATCCCCAATAGATTCCAAAAGCATCCTATAACCATAGATTCTGTACATTACTCAGATGAAGATAGATTGATCTCAGTGATGCCAAGCCGTGTCAACCATAATTGTGTGTCATCGCACGGGGGCGCATGCCACCAACTTCCGGAGCACTAGAGACATCGGCTCGGAGCGGTTGATTGGATGAGAAGCCTTGAAGAGGAACCAGACCTGGCAGTTCGGCACATCAATCCCGTGCACCTCGTGGGAATGGGGTTCATGATGAACCATGGCTTCTTTTGCCGGGGCTCCTTTCAGGGTCTTGGACACGAATATATTAAATATTACTAAATTATATATATATATAATTATATGTACTTATATATATATATACATATATTTTTAAACAGTATACACAACATATTGCACCATCAGAGCGGTGTGCATCTGCGAGAAACCAGTGCCGAGCTAGAGGCTAGCGATGGCTAGAGCGTGCAAGAATTGCCAGGACATGAGCTTCCCTAAACATCTACAGGACCTAAAAGAAACACATGTTTTCCCCGTGAACCCGGAGCGAGCCGATCGGGAGTCGTGTGCTCTGAGTGCTCTGATGGGTCAACGAGTGCCACGACGAGGCTGAGCCAGGTGAGAATGGCAGAGCTTTTCGGTTCCTGAGGGAAAGGCTATGGCACACAATGGCACACTCATGAAGGGCCCTATTCATCTATCTTTGTATTTCATGTGTCACCTTTTTTCTGGGAACAGCCGAACAGCCGTTCGCATGGTCTTTGAATCGACGCAGGGTCCGCCGATCCTCGCAGCGCTCGGAGCGAGCGTTCCGCTTTCTTACGTCCCAATGAAGGGCGGACGTTTTTTCCGGAGCCTCCGCAAGGAACCATTTGGAACCTATGAACCTCTGGCTCCGGATGATTCACTTCCCCCCCCCGGTACGTCAGCGGAATTCCGAGGGCTGGACAGTTCGGAGCTACAAGTTCCCCGATCGTTCCAGCCGAGTTGAGTTCGTGAAGAGGTCGTGACGGTGATGTGTCGAAGAATTGGGGAACCTCCGCCAGGGAAAGTACGGAAAGCATCCAACATCTTGCTGTTTTGTGGTCCTCCCGTGTGGTCTTGCTATTTGAAGACACCATTGCCCGTCTCATGCGACACCACACGGGCGGCCCAGTTTGCACAACACATGCGCGACACCCACTGCCGACAGTTGGTTCTCGAGGCCAAAAAATTGGCCCAGCAACGTCATGCAAAGTCTCTGGTGGTTGACCCAGAAACAAGCCCCAAAATGCCAAAGAAGTGTTATGCGCTGCGTGTTTTCGTGGCAGTGTTTCTGGGGTAATCATTCGGATGATCCTTCCTCAACAGTAACATGTACTCAAGACTTATAAACATGTTGAGCACTGTGAAAGAGCAGCTATTTGAGAGTGCTCTATTTGGTATTTCTCCAAAAGACAATTGTTGGCTCCGGGTTAGTGCCTGGCCAACGGCTCATTTGGCCGACCTCCTGCCATGGCCTCGCATTCGGCGAGCGGGGCGAGTGGGGTGGAGTTTCAGGAAGACTTTTGGATGCTACACCGGCGCTTGGGGGAGCAACATGAGTTGGAACTGAAGGAGCTACAAGCCAAGGCTGCTCAGAGGCAAGTCCAGGCCCAGCTGGTATTTTTTTTCAGTGATGGATGGAGGGATTGGGCGTTTCCATGGCTGGAGGTGATTTCTCAGGCGTTTCAGGTTTTCTTCCAAAGATTTTCCTCAGGCCTGGCGCATGCATGGCGTCCATAAACCATCCATCAGTTCGTCCACATGTGTTCCCAAATGCGCCAAGTGAACATCCTTTTGTCATTGTGTTCCTGGCATCCTAAAGTGTGACGCACGTCTTTGGAAGGGCTGTGGGTCCCGGGATCCCGCGGCTCCATTGAGCAACGGCGTGCGCGCGCGATCGGGGCGTGCGGAATTTTGCCAGGCGAAACGGCGTGCGTGAAGACATGGAGATCCCGTACATCAGATGTCATGAAACTCAAACACTCTCCTATCAATCAAGCCCATCCGCCCCGAGAAAAAGGACCTATATATATATACATGGCTTATAGTTTATAGTATGTTGATACACTACTATATTATATATATTATGTTGTTTACTTACTTTCTTTTGAGTTAACATCCAACCTCTTCCTACTGTAGTGAAGCTGATCCATGGTGAAACTGTTTTCTGACCCACCCTTTTCCCATGCCATTTGCATGAAATCATTCCAGCTGGTAATGGGGTCTTCATTCTTTTTGGATGCTGGTGTTTTCATGATCTCATCTGGATCATTCTCACCGCCACCCCTCAGCTGCTTCAATCTGCCCACCCAACCTTCTGATTGCTTCTCCTGAAGGCTCATGCTACAAAACATTTTGATGACCAATGTTCTCCCAAACAACATTTTTGCACTTCATCTTGCCTTCCATCTCTTTCATCCTGCAATCCTCTTCCTTTTCCAAACCACCATCCAATTAGACCATCCAGTATAAGCACCCACCCTTACCACATAGAGCCTCCATTTGGCATGGCTCTGATCTCTTACCAATCTTGGGCCAATATGCTAAGCTATCATTGTTCTCATGGTTCAATCTCTCATGGTTCACACAGAATCCCATCAACCATCCATCATGAGGTCATCACCTCTATTAGGCGGATGTGGTCTCCAATACCTCCAATCTCAAACCTTGACCTTGTTGAACTTGAAGGGGGTGAACACATATGCAATAGGATCTCTGGGATGTTTCTTCATATCAATTTATCACAGTCACGCATTTCAAGCTTTTTAACAAAGTAAAGTATAGCAGTCTCTCAACTCATCACAAAAAACACATTGAACGATTGATGATATAATTTCACAAGAACTATATCATGAAACATGAACAGCTAGATTGCGCTCAGATTTCTGTATTTGTTTGTTTGATTTGAGATGCACTCTTGATAGTGCCCTTGGCTCATAGAACAATTATATATATATATACAGGCAGAACAGGTACTGTATATAGTGATTTTTACCTTCTATTGTTTGCTTTGACACATATATACCTAATACCTATTGCCAACAATCCTGTAAATGTCGTTTCCTAGCATCAAAGAACAGGACGCACTAGTTGATTATTAGAGCTATTACTATGGTGGATTTTAAAATTGAGTTCAGGATAATTTAACTCCTGAAAATATGTTCATTTAATATTGTCATGCGTGTTGTAATCATTTTCATAAATGAACTCTTATTTGCATACATTTATTTCAATGAATGTGCACTTCAAGAAATGATCAAAAATGAACAACTGAAGTACCCTTTTGATGATTATAGATGGTAGTTAGTTAAAACAATGGAACCTCAAACAGGTCAAGAAAAGAAATTGACATCAGTAACGAAAAACCAATGAATATAGTTGCTTTAAGCACTGTAAAGCACACCAAAAGGCAAGAAGTGAGAAGCACGATTGCACAGCATTCAGAGACATCAATCTTGCTTTTTGTATTCTTTGGGTTTGCTTTGCAAAGTGAGGTTGCTTTAAAGCGCTTTAAGGCACAGTAAAACAAGAATAAATAAGCAAACTTGCAGAGCATGAAGGGTCATCAATGTTGCTTTTGCCATACCTTGTCTCCACCGAATGTCCTGGAGCCTTTTTTTTGCTTTCTTCCTATACCCACATTATACACACACACACCCCAAAATTTCACTAAACGACTGTAGTTTGTCAGTAAGCAACACACATTGGGTGGGTGGGTAGTGGAGGGGGGGGTCCATCTATTTGTACATGCGTTTTTCTGCCGTGGCCCAGGTTGACAGCCTCCCAGCACCCCCTCCGCTGCCGAACTCGCCACCCGACAGGGGAGACGTGAAACGAGGGGCCTTGCTGGTGAGAAAAAACGACCCGGGCTTTCCAAGAGAGACAGGCAGAAGTCGTGAAGTGTTGGGTGTCCAAGGGGTGTGGCTTGATGAGTCGTGCCCCATCTTCAGAGCCTGGGAGTTGCGGGCCCTTCGCCCAGCGAAACCTGCCTGGGCCCTCCGAAGGGCTGGACCAGGATATAGGAGTTGATGGATTAGACATGTGGTTTGATATTGGTTTGATCATGTTTGATGATCATGTTTGATCAGTGTTTTTCCCGAAAGCATTGCGAAGGGTTCTTCCGGAAAATCCCTTGAACACTGACACTTCGACACTTACACTTACACACTGACACTTCCACACTTGCACTTGAACACTGACATTTCGACACGTACACTTGAACACTTACGCTTTCACACTTACACTTGAACATGAACACATGAACATGAACACTTACACTTCTATACGTACCCCAGTGTAAGTGGAAGAGTGAAAGCATCCAAGAAAGCATCCAACGGCAAGTATCCAAGTGCAAAAGTATGCAAGTGTAATGAGTATGCAATGAGCACGGGAGATGTCCTAATGAAACTTGTGGAAAACTTGCACGGGAGATGTCCTAATGAAAAACATTTCCCCACTTTATAATCTCTCTCTTAAAGGCGGAGGGTGGGACGAACAGCGTCAACCGAAAATGCAACCCTCTGCGGAGATCGTGCGCGTCGAGCGCGAAATGCAGGCGAGAGTGCGATTTGGTCTGTGCGCGCGCAACCCTCTGCGGAGATCGTGCGTGTCGAGTGCGCGAAACGCAGGCGCTGGCGACTTTCTAGTACTACTTTAGTACGCGGAGTATTTGGGGAGCTGGAAGATCAACTTTAGTACGCGGAGGATTTGGGGAGCTGGAAGATGAGAACTGGCGACTTTGTAGTGCAACTTTAGTACGCGGAGCAATCTGTGGAGCTGAAAGCTGAGAACTGGCGACTTTCTAGTACGACTTTAGTACGCGGAGTATCTGGGGAGCTGGAAGACGAGAACTGGCGACATTGTAGTACAACTTTAGTACGCGGAGCAATCTGTGGAGCTGGAAGCTGAGAACTGGCGACTTTGTAGTACAACTTTAGTACGCGGAGTATCTGGGGAGCTGGAAGATGAGAACTGGCGACTTTGTAGTACAACTTTAGTGCGCGGATTGTTTGGGGAGCTGGAAGATGAGAACTGGCGACTTTGTAGTGCAACTTTAGTACGCGGAGCAACCTGTGGAGCTGGAAGCTGAGAACTGGCGACTTTGTAGTACAACTTGAGTACGCGGAGTCTTTGGGGAGCTGGAAGATGAGAACTGGCGAAGTTGTAGTACAACTTTAGTACGCGGAGTATCTGGGGAGCTGGAAGATGAGAACTGGCAACTTTGTAGTACAACTGTAGTGCGCGGAGCTGGAAGCTGAGAACTGGCGACTTTGTAGTACAACTTTAGTACGCGGAGTATTTGGAGAGCTGGAAGATGACAAGTGGCGACTTTCTAGTACAACTTTAGTACGCGGAGTATCTGGGGAGCTGGAAGATGAGAACTGGCGACTTTGTAGTACAACTTTGGTACGCGGAGCAATCTGTGGAGCTGGAAGCTGAGAACTCGCGACTTTGTAGTGCAACTTTAGTACGCGGATGAGTCATCCCTCGCGGCTGAGTCATCTCTCGCGGCTGCTCTGGCGCCCCTGCAGCTGAGTCATGTCTCCCGACCACCCGGCTCTCTTGAGAGGTTGACACACACACACAGAGACCCACGCACTGCCTCAACTTACTCGGACACACACACAGACAGAGACTCATACACACACATACACACACAGAGACCCACACACTGCCTCAACTCACTCGACTTAACACTTCACACTGAACACTTAACAGATAAGTCACACTCTGACTTCCTACGTGATGAAAAATGCTTTCGGGCCACTTGTCGTCTAGTTTCTTTCGGCTGAACCAGTGGTCCACACTCACTGGATTCTTTCCACCAACTTACATTTTCAGTTTGGTCCCTTCCTGCCCGAAGGAAGCAGTGTTTCCAGGAAGCCGTGTTTGGTCCGTGGCGCCGAGGAACGGCCCGCAGCTCCCAGAGGGTGATCTTCACCTCTTGGAACCGGAGGAACTTCGGTGTCGCCCGATTTGCTTTGGCTAGGACGAGCGTCGCTGAAGTTTAGGTGTTGGCTTCGGTGAAGGTGTCGCTTGAGAGAATCGCCTGACAGTCCATGCTGTGCTTTCCGGTTCAGGAGACGAACCGGAAGGACAGGGAGAGCACTCTGGTCAGCCAGCAAAGCGTTCCCTCACTTTCCTTGGACCACAAGGCCTGCCGAGTGCCATCACAGCGCAAGGCACACTGAAACACCCTGCACTTGTGAGGCTCAACCGGGCAGCGCCCTAGTAGCGTCCTTGCTCCTAGTAGTAAGGCCAGGAGCCCCTAGTAGCGGCACCACATGTAGCACCACCTTTCTATTTGCGATGTTTTTCATTTTTTTCAATGTTTCGCTTCCGGTCTAGTCCAGTTGACGACCCGATTCGGGTCCTAGATTCATGGCCATTATATTTGACTCCAGCAACTCAGTGACCCTTCAGTTCCAATCATGAGACCTTCAACACCTTTTGAACCTTAAAATCTTACAAGATCTTCAAACCTTCTAAAGACTTCCTCAATTTCCAACGTGCAAACACTTCGGTACAAACTATTCGTGGAAACGATGGATGCCTCCGCGGCGTCTCGCCGCTTGATCCGGCTCTCGTCCGATGAGGTACGACATCGATGGCTCTCGGAGGATGAAGCACCACAGGTAGCACGGACGCAAACGCGCAGGCCCAGCTTGAAATTGCCCGACTGGAGCGCGAAGCATGGCTGTTTGAGTGGCAAAAACCGGTGGAGCACAGGGTTTGCGCAGGCCTGCATGGTGGCGTGGATCATGGGATTGGGGGGTTGCTTCTGAAATTCAAAGGTGGGAAATACTCGATCGAAGGAACCTTGCCTTAGCATTGTTCTCTGCCGCAGTTTTGAACCAAAAACCACTACGACATGCTACGACATGCTACGACCAAAAGCCCCAAAGGGATGGTTTAGTATGGTTTAGTGAGGATTACAAGAAATTTCAGGGATTTTCAATGATTTTCATGAAAGATTGGCGAATGCAATGTTGTGCAAGAGCCGCCCCATGTGCCTTTTGCGTGGCGAGTCAATGATCAGCAGCTTGCGCTCTATATTCCTATATTCCCAAACGATTTCTTTCACCATGCTAGCTGTTCAGACAGGGGAAGGCTGTCCACTTGATAAACTGCCGCGCCCAGAGTGCTGCAATTGTATATATATATATATATTCCCAGAACCATTGGCCAGGTGAAATTCCCGGATGTGAGCAGAGCCGCCTGTCCTGCCGAGGAAAGCACAATCAATATGGCTCTCAGATGAGCGGACCGAAGCATCATGGGTCTTTGTAAACGTCTTCCGGCGGATTCAGCACCCAGGCGCTTTGTTGACAACCATGGGCGCAAGGACTGGAAAATAGGTCCACAATTCACGAGTGTTGAGGCTGAAATCTAGTTTTGCTGATGGATAGCAATTTGCCAGTCTTTGCAGGCGGAGTTACGTTCCCAGTCGATCGGCACGTTGATCGAAGTTCCGCAACCAAGTGGAGCAGCTTCTTTCGACTTTTGCATGTGGTCATACCGCAAAGATTACTAATTATGTTTGAATCATCATGATTTCCATACAGTCACTCACACATGTCCATATCTGCAAACCTTACAGGCCCAAAGCCCCTTTGAAAAGGAGCGCGACCCGTTTTTCATGGTGCGGAGCCCTGGCTCTTACCGCACACGTGCACCACGACGAGGCCTTCCTCCTCGAGAACGACATCGAGTTGGAAGGGCGTGTGGCTTTGCGAGCTGCTGATCTTGGCTTGCCTAGCCAGTGGATTTGCCATTGGTGGTGCGCACCAGGAGATCTGCTACTACCAGAGTGGTTCAGGGCCAGCAGGTCCGGTGAAAATCAAGAGGAGGACCTTCCATAGTATCTACGTGGAAGCCGACGAGTACATCGGGAAGCTGAAGTGGCTGAAGAGTGACAGGGCAGCCAAAGCCAGTCTCCTGGTGAGGGAGAAAAGTGGAAAGAAAAGGAAGAAAAGGGATTGCCGAGAGCTCATAGTGGTTGTTCCTGCGAGCTGGCAGTTTCTGGATAAGCTAGAAGCAACAAGAGAGGATTTGGAAGAAGGGCAAATCGGTGCATTGGTGAGCCAGTGGAAGTTTTGGGAAGTCCTCAACTACAGTGGCATACCATTTGAGGTTGAGCAAGACAGTGCACACCTTACCTCTAGGTGCTACTATCCAAAGGCAGCGCATTTGCAGAGGATGGCGGACGAGAGTTTGAGGTTGGTGGCAGCAGCCTTAGAAAAGTTGAGTGTGAATCAGGCATCACAAGCCTGGTCAAGACACTTGAAAACCCCTGATGTGTTCAAACCGGGCCAACGAGTCGAAGATGTGGAGTGATTGGAAGTTTGCATTTTGCAGCTACATTCGAGGAGTAGACCCAGCAATGGCAGCAGCTATGGACGTGGTGGAGAAGAAGATCAACAGTGATTACACCTTCGATGACATGACTGATGACATGAAGACAATGTCAGTGAGGTTGTACAGTGTGCTCACATCATACCTTCGAAACCGCCCCCTGAAGTTGGTGAAGCACATCAAGCAGGAGAATGGGTTCGGTGCTTGGCAGTTGCTGTTGAAAGAGATGCAACCGGCCACAAGAGCAAGGAGTCTTGCTTTGCTGACCCAACTATCAAGGGTGCAATTTGCTGAAGGGAAGTCATTGAGTGAGCAATTCCCTCAATATGAAGCAATTGTGACAGAGTATGAGCGCATCAGTGGACACGTCTATGCTGATGATGCAAAGGTAGCCTCAATCCTGCAAGGATGCCCTGCCTGCATGAAGCAACATCTCCAGTTGTGGGTCGATGACAGTACGACCTATGACTCATTGAAGGCGAAGGTGATGCAACTGGAATCACTTTCTACCAGGTGGGATGCAAGCAACAGCCTGTCTTTGCCAACCAGGGCGAGCGCAGATGAGAGTACGCCCATGGAGGTGGACTACATCGGCAAGGCCAACGACAGAGGGAAGAAAGGAGGAAAGAAAGGCAAGGATGGAAAGGGCAAATCTAAAGGGTAAAGACAAAGGAAAGTCTAAGCAAGAAGGCAAAGGACTATGGAAGTTCTTCGACAAAGGCAAGAATGCGTGGGAGAAAGGCCAAGGAAAGAAAGGAAAGAATGTTGAGAAAGGAATGAAAGGCAAACCAGGAGGATGCTTCATCTGTGGCAAACAAGGCCACGTCGCAAAGGAGTGTTGGAAGCGCGCGCAGCAAGTAGAGGAGAATCCTGGTGGCGCAGCAAGTTCATCATCAGGTCAAGCCACGACAGTGAGAGAGACCACGCAAGTGAAGATGGTGAGGGTTGATGAAAGCACAAGTGACCCCACTACAGAGATCTTTGATCTTACGCAGTATGAGGAGGATGCCGAAGAGATTCAACATCCTTGGAGAGTGAATGCAATCTATGAGGAGCTCAATGAGGAGGAGTTCTTTGACTGCAGAGAGCCGATTGTGTGGACACCCAGTCACGTGCCTGTGATTGCGATGGACATGCAGGTGCACGAAGAAGAGGGAGAGGAAGCCAAGTTCATCCAGATGGTAAAAGTGGAAGCGGTCATCCAGGACAGCTGTCTAGTCACGCTGGACAGTGGTGCAGATGTTTCAGTCCTACCACTACACTATGGTGAAGTTGGGACTTGGCGACCAGGTTCAGAAAAGTTGAAGATGGTGGACGCACAAGGCACGAAGATAGCCCATCAGGGGCTGACAAAGGCGAGGATCAAGATCGAAGATAGCGAAGGAAAGGCCATCGAGTTGATAGAGGAATTTGTGTCGGGAAACGTTCAACACCCCATTTTGTGCGCTGGTCGAGTCTTGAGAAGAGGTTGGAGTATATCAGGAGGAAATGATGGGAAGATGTTCCTGTGCCACGAGGAACGGAACCTGAAGATCCCAATCAACACAGAAAGAAATTCTCTCCAGTTCGAAGCTAGGATCTTTGGCATTGAATTGGAGGAGCAGGAAAAGAAGGTCAGCCAGAAGGAGGACTGTGTGAGAGTGTTCGTGCTTAGAGGATTCCTGAGCAAGTACGTGGAGGAGCTCGAACTGTCCCCAGGATGGCACCGGCTACCGAACGGAGTCATTGTGTATAGCGATCCTATCGCTATCAGGCTGGCAGATGCAAGACAAAGTGTTGATGGAGAGTGGAAGTCAAGAATGACACTCCTGAAGGATAAGGACGGCATGTGGAGGCAATTGGAGCTACGTCAGTCTTGGAGACAAAGCCTTCAGGAAGATCACCGCGGACCAAAACCCACAGAGGACCTTGAGTTTCTTCTCCCCAAGTCGCCTCAAAGACTATTGGGAACAGGATGCTGAAGTGCCAACGTTCCCATACCCAGAACCGGAAGGTGAGATCAAGCATCATGAACGGTCAGAAGAAGAGCAAGAAGATCCAGAAGGACTAGAAGAACAATGGGAAGCCCAAGACATCGAGAAATTGGTGTTGGCAGAGAAGAAGGACGAGGTTGAGCTCGATGACGTGGTGTTCAACGAGAAATCGTCAGTCAAGGAGCTGCAGTTGGCATGCACTGAGAGAGGCCTACCATACTCAGGGAGCAAGAAAAGGATATTAGCTCGCCTGATTGCATTCAAGATTGACTTGGAGAACAAGCTGCAGCTGAGCATTGCCAACAAACTCTTCAAAGAAAACCAGAGAAAGCCCATGACTTTGGGACAACCCAAACTGCCATCATTGAAGGAGCAGGAGTTGCACTTCGTCGCCCATTGGCCATATGCTCCATGGTGCCAAGCATGTATGGCAAGTCGTGCGAAGGAAGATAAGCGCATTTCAGAAAAGAAGAAACCGGAGTTGGGGAAGAATGTCATCGAGTTGGATTTCTTCTACGCGTACACAGGAGAAGAGAGAAGGATGGAAGATCAGAAGGCACCAGACAAGGTTCAAGAGAGGCAGGACCAATTTGGGACGTGCCTCATCATGGCATCGAGCGAGACGAAAGCAATCCATGTTGTGCCAGTACAAAGCAAGGGTACTGCAAGTCTCAAGCACATTACAGAAGAAGTTATCAGATTTACGCTTGAGAATGCCTCGAGAGATGCATGCATTTTGCAGGCAGACTCCGAAAGGGCAACAAGACAAATTCTGAGAGCAGTGCAGCAGGTCAGGAAAGTCATGAGCCTGGAAACAGAGATAAGGTTGACTGGACCAGGCCAGCATCAATCAAATGGGTTGGCTGAGAGAGCAGTACAGACAGTGAGACGCCTGGCAAATTGCCTGCGAGCATTCGCAGGTGACAAAGCAAACATCGACATCCTGGGCAACTTTCACCTGTATCCTTGGGCATTCAAACATGCAGCATTCCTGATCAACAGGTTCCGAGTGCTTGAAGGAACAGGGAAGACATCCTATGAGTTGAGCGCCGGCCATAGCTCTAGAGGAAAGCTGGCATTGTTCGGAGAGAGCGTGATGTTCAAGCGAGTAGTCAGAAACAAAGGGTCAGATGGCTTCATCAGAGGTATATGGTGTGGGAAGCACATATGGAATGACATGCGCACCGTCCTCACGCCTGAAGGTGCCTATGAAGCCAGGACAATTAGAAGACTGGCCGCAGAACAATCATTCAACGCCTTGGAGATGGTGATTGCAAAGGGTTTGCCATGGAACTACTCTCCTCAAGGAATCCTCATGAAGAGAGTCATTGGAAGGCAACAGAGGAATCCCACAGTCGAAGCAGACATCAATCCAGACGAGCTTGAGGAGATGTCAAAGACAGTAGCAGCGGGTTTGGTAACACCCGCACCTGGCCTAACAGCACAACCAAAGACACCAGTGGGAGCATTCGCAGCACCAGGGACACCGGCGCAAATTGGAGATGCAAGTGCTGGAGTGAAGAGAAGTGCAGAAGGACAGCGAGAAGAGGAGTCTGAGGCGAAGAGGCAAGACGTGACAGAATCACCGAGAAAGATGGTGACAAAGAGAGGAGGTGCAGAGGAAGAGCAGACAGATGAGAAGAGACAAAGAGTAACCTCAGAGGAATCAATTGAGATAGATGACAAGATGGAAAAGCCAAACAAGGAAACAGAGCATGAGCCAGAAGGATCCCCGAGTGCGAAGAAGTCAAGATTGTATCCACCACACTATGCAGGCATAGAAGCAGTGGAGGTTCATGGAGATGAAGAAGCAGGGCTGGACTACATGCCAGAAGACATCACGGAAGAGCACATGGGATATGGAGGCGAAGAAGGTGAAGATCCCCCAGAAATGACAGAAGCTGAAGTTGAAGCCCTGGACGAGGAGGCAAAAGAGAAGGAAATTGAAAGAATGCTGAAACTACCAGCCATGGAAGAGTCAAAGGGGGAGGGCGTGGCAAAGGAGAATGGGTACATCATTAGCACCAAGATGGTCACCACATGGAAACATAGACTGGAACAAGGAGGATGGTTCCGGCGTGCCCGGTTAGTGGCACGACAGTTCAAAGGTAGTGTGGCAATGGAGCAAACATTCGCCCCTACGTCACTCATGATCATCCCAAAGATGATGATCCATTTGTGGATCAACTGCTTCAGCAACTACACAGGGATGACGCTCGACATCAAAGGCGCCTTTCTGATGTCCCCACAGCCGAAGGATGAAAGAGCCTATGTGAGGATTGGAGAAAAGGTGTACAAGTGTACAAATTGTTGAAATGCCTTCCTGGACAACGTACGGCAGCAGCACAGTGGTTTCAACTGTTTGCAAATGGTTGCAAGGAGTTTGACATGAAGCAAGATCAAATGCAACCAACTCTTTTCATTAAGCGTGGGGAGATGATGCTGACAGTTCACGTCGATGACGTCTTCATGATCGGAAAAGAATCTGTGCTTTTGAAATTCGTCAACTTCCTCAAGGAGAAGAAAGGATGGAAGGTAGAAGAGAAGGGACCATTTCAAGCAGGAGGAAAGTTTTTCTACTTGAAGAGGCAATTCAACGTGGCTCGAGAACATGTAGACATCAGGTGCGATAGAAAGCAGTACTATGGCCTCGAGAAGGAAATGGACCTGTTCAAGAAAGCATATAGAAAGACCCCGATGGACCAAAATGCCACGAAGAAGGATGAGTCAGCGCTCTTGGAAGACAGTGACATCACAAAATACAGGAGTGTTGTGGGAAGGCTCATGTACATGGCCAGTGAAAGACCAGATGCACAATTCGCCATACAGTCACTGGCAAAGAAGATGGCAGCACCAACGCAGGAGGCATGGAAGAGAGCATGGCATCTTTAATTGTTTGTACTTATATGGCGCCATAGATTTTGGAGGGCGCCTCAGAAGAAGAGAGAAAGGCCGATCAATGCTGGACCCGAGAGAAGACGAAGATGTGGATCCAGAAGAATTTCATTTGCTGGAGGTAATCACAGACTCGGACTATGCTGGAAGGAGAGACGATCGGAAATCAACGTCTTCATTCCAGATCTATATAGACGGCAACCTCATCGAAAGCAGGGTCAGGAGCCAGAAAGCAATAGCACTATCTTCTGGAGAGGCCGAATTCGTCTCGGTCGTAGCAGGATGTTCAGATGGCATGCTGATCAAACACCTATGGCAAGAGATGTCAGGAGAAGAATGCAAGATGAATGTGAGATCCGACAGCAGTGCAGCAAGAGCAATGGTGCAGAGGCAAGGCATAGGTCGTGTACGGCACCTGGATGCCTCATTGCTTTGGGCGCAGAAAGAGAAAGAAAAGGTGTTGAGCATAGCTGCAATCCCAACAGAACTCAATTGTGCTGATGTCGGCACCAAAAGCCTCACGAAGAAGAGACTCTTCGGACTGCTCTACATGATGAAGGTGATCGACTCCATTGGAGAAAGAGTGGGACGAGAAGAATACAAGGATATAGAATACCAATACCAAATCAAAAGAGGCACAAACAAATTGATGAAAGGTGGAAAAGACCTACGTGTGGGACTTCTGCTGCTGATGGCAAGCCTAGACACGGTTGCGGGAGAGCCAATGAACTATGAGACAGCCCAATGCGTACAAGTTCGAATGGTGGGCACTCATTTTGTGCGCCTTGGTTGGGGCCTTGAGCGTAATGCAGTGGCTTCGGTGTATGGTGGAAAAGTTCTTTGAGAACATGTTCACCCAGGAGAGAAGACCAATGAGGTGGTCAATGAAGATGAAAGTGCAAAGAAGCAGAGGTCAGGACATGATCAAGAAACCCAAGTGATCCAAAGGCTAGATTGCAGCCTATGGAGAAAGTACGAAGAGCAAATCAAAGATCTGGAAGACCAGAAAGATGACCTACAACAGGAGCTGCTACGGGCTGAAGGAATGATTGAAGATTTGAGAGTGGATCTACAAATGGCCCGGGTGCAGCGAGAAGAAAACTTCCAGATGTATCAACTGGTAGAGAAAAGGTCTACCAAGTTTGAGAAGAAATGTTTGAATTTTCGAAGGTGTGGAAGCAGCAAGGTGATCCATTTCATGACATCTTGCCCACACTGGTCGAAAGGCGAAAGCCTCGACATGCGCCGGATATGTGTGAGTGAAGAGGCCGTGTTGAATCATCATGATTTCCATACAGTCACTCACACATGTCCATATCTGCAAACCTTACAGGCCCAAAGCCCCTTTGAAAAGGAGCGCGACCCGCTTTTTCAAATTATGTACAACTCTTCTTTTTCAGCTGGGATGGGGATTCTTTCAGTTCCTGGCTGTATCATGCTATTGCCAATCCGGTCAGGCAGCCTGTTGCGCATTTGGTGGGGCTCTTTGGGCATGATGCTCTTGGGCTATGAGACCTGGCTGATCAGCCAAGGGGTGGTGAGGTTTGACGAGTGGGGATAAGAGAGACCTAGAGACCAAGCATGTTGAAGATGATCGCACAAAAGGCTGACTAAGCGGAAAACATCACAGACTCCCATAGCTCCCTTTTTTTTTCCTTCGGCCAACCTTGCCGAAAGGGGCCTCCAAGTGGGGTGTCTGAGGCTTTCAGTAGTGAAGGGGTGAAGGACCCCAAAGCCGAAAGTGGGGAGTTCAACCTGATGGCTTCCAGGGCTTCGATGGCTTGGTCTTTTCAATAATGTGGTGATATGCGGTTGGGTTGCTGTCCGGAAGCTGGAACCCAGCTTGGCAGACTGTGAGCAGACGCATGCAGACGCGCCTACGTGTTCCAGAAGGAACGTCTGGGAGATCCAAGTGGAAGGGACGGACATGTTCCGACCCGAAGAGGTTGATTTTTTCGTTCGGTTAGACAAGATCCTTCGCATGTTGCTGATTGGGAAATTGTTCATTCTTTAGTTAACATATGTTAACATCAATCCAGACGACCATGCCAATGTGCATATACATGTATATACCATATACTATGTATCTCAATGGCAACCCGACATGTAAAGACCGAACACCCAAACCGTCCAGCTCCGCTCCAGAAACGGTTCTTCAGCGTTGTTCGTCGGCATCGTTTGTCCTTTGCGGTCTTGGCGTCGTGGCAGATATACCGCAGTTTCCAGGATGTGATCTTCCTCCCCTTGCGCTTCTTCCCCACTTTCGTCGAAACGTCCACCATGTTGGCCTTCTTTTGGACTGCCAGGCGCGGTGATACGTTGGTGAGACGCCGATAGTTTGAGTGCAAATGCATGAGCATCGAATCAATTTTGACCTGCCGAAATGTCCTTCAACTGAGTCCAGATGATGGACCCCTGAAGATCCTGAACATAGTCTAAGAGAACCGCGAACACAAGTCTAAGTGGTGAAGTGCCTTCCTTGAGGTCAACAGGCATATGATTCAGCATGGAGCATGACTCACATCACCCAGACGTGAACAGGTGTTTCTTTTTCCAAACCACAATCCATCACTCCTTCTCTCATTGTAACTCCCATCATGACTCCCTCATGTTGGTGCTTCCGTTCGCACCCGGGAGTGCCCGTGGGGTGGTCTGACATTCCAGGCTCTACTGGACTCTGGATCTTTTCCTGGGATTCATCACTGGCTTCTATGACGCGGGTTCATTGGAACTGGAGCTGCGGCGGACGATCCGGAACTACCTGACGGGTTGGTTCACCTTTGATGTGGCGGTGGTTTGCCACCTGTTTGGATTTGGCGCTGGTGGGTGAGCTTGTCAGGTATATAGATCAGTGGATATCAGTAGTTTCAAAAGTGGCCCAACGCAGCGAAGCCTTGATTGGCAACAACAGACCCAGAAAGCACAGGTCTACAGTCTACAGTGACCCAGGAACAAGTTGTCACTTACCGCAGGTTTGCCGTCCAACCCATCCTACTCGTAACAAGCCAGGAGGGTCCAGGCAGTGTATTTTTAAACATGCATTGTTCATTCATACTTTTCTATTGCATCATACACACACATACATACACACATACATATATATATATATATATTCATCCAAAGTCCCTGGATTGGATGAGGCGGCCTCTTTGCACCCAAAAAATCATTGAGCAAGGGTACAATCATTAAGTGTCTGTCCTTTTAGGCCCCAGAAGTTGAAAGGCTACACTTTGCCCTAGTGAGGAAAACGGGGCCATTGACTCTCAGGGGTTCGCACCGGTGAATCGCCCGAACCGTTACACACGGGTCGCCCAACTTCACCCGGGAGGTTCCGGACCGGAAGCGGGCGCCTGTCCCGCCCAGCCGGAACGAGGCGTGGACTGGACATCGGAGTTTCTGGACAACAATGGCATTGATGACCTGCCGCGCCTGTCCCGGACGATGCGCTTGGGAAAGATTGTGAGGCCGCTCGATGCGCTCTGGCACTGCCGCGCGTGACGATGCCTTTTTATGGTGAAGGGTTTGTGCCCCTGGTTGGGGCGACAACGTTGGGGCGACTGACAAGTGCGATTCTGACAGATCGTACTTAATGTACTTATGAAAAGACATCTCTCTCTCTCTCTATCTATCTATTACTATATATATATAATTACAATTATATATATATATATAAATAAGGGAGTTGATGAGTTGAAAAAACAATGAAGGCTTTTGTCCTCCATGAACAGGTAATGTGTATGGGTTTTCACAATGTCTTCAATCTTGTTCCTGCGGTGTGTGCATATTAACATTTACCCATGGGCTTATGCGGTGAGTGCACGTTAACATGCATTCACCCATGGGCTTAAGCTTCCGCATTCTTCACCGTTCCGATTGGTCTGACACATTGTGCAAGTTTCACAGGGATACCAAGGGATACAAGAGGCACACGATGCATCATCAACCTCAGCACCACCTCAGCATCACCAACGCCTGCAAATCCTCAACAAGTACTGCATGTACCTCACCGGATACTATGTACATCTCTTCCATGCCTTGACCCCCTCACAAGCTAATAAGGAATTGGGAGGCTCACACAGTTTCGCTTTAATCGAGCCAGTACCAAGTCTGTCAACTCTGATCCACTTGCACCACAAAGCAAGAGTTCGGGTGACAATGACCGTGCCAAAGCATACAAACTCTTGATCCCGACCAAAAGGCGCCTGCTTGCCTTCTGTCACATCAAACATGAGGTGCCAAGGGCAACGGCCTAACGAGAAGCCCTGACCCTCAAAGAAAGCATCTTCGGTGCTTTCTTTACTGGCTTCCCCGGACGAGAAGAAGTGAACCGGTTGCCGGAATCTTATTCTTCGGTTCCTCATGCTGTCGCCATTCCGCTGGGCAGCTCAACAGAACTGGCTCGGTGGACTTGGGTAACAGAAGAAACCCGATCCACTCGGTTCCATTCATTGTGGGGCTTGGGTCCCCAAAACCTCCCCATATTTTGCGTGAGCCATTGCCAACGTGGCTCTGTATGGGTTCAAGATAATGAACATTTAACGCTTTCACTGTATATATACTTAAAGGTAGTTCCTCGGTGCCGTTTGATCGACGAATCGACACTTCCCTCAATGTTGCTCAATTGTATGATTCGAGTGTGATGGAGCTCATTGTGAAAAACACCTACTCCGCTCTGAAAGAAGATGGTCGCAATTCTTTGGGTTGCGCCATCAGATCTGAATGCACACGCAACGCACTACCGGTGAGAGCTCATTTTCCCTGTTGCCATCTATTTTTTTCCTGACATGGAAGGGCTCCTGACATGGAAGGGCGAAATCATCAGCCTCAACAATCGTTGTGCCATCTACTTTTTTCTGACATGGAAGGGCTGAAGGATCAGCGAGAGGAGAGGCACACGTAAGTTGAGGAAAGGAAAGGAAAGGAAAGAACAAGAAAAGACAGGAAAGGAAAGGAAAGGAAAGGAAAGAACAAGAAAGAAAAGGAAAGGGGACGGCAGTGCAGGTAAAGGAGAAGTGAAAAAAGGACACAAAAGGAAAGGACACACGCATGAAAGGAGAGGGAAGGAGAGGGAACGGGAAGGAGAGGGAACTTAGTTGCGCCATGTTGCGCCATCTATTGGCTCAACCATCATTGTTGTATCACCTTTCACAAGGGTTGCGCCATCTACTGGGCAGCTATCATGCATTGTTCCAATAGGAATCAGGAGGAAATCAAAAGGTTTCAGCAGGAAATCAATAGGCATCAAAAAAAATCAATAGGACGCCAGCAGGAATCAAAAGGAAGTCAAAAGGGCAGATGGTCCCAATGCTGTGGGTTGCGCTATCAATCCTGAATGAACTCAAATGTACCTCGCAAATAGGTCAATCGAGTTGGAAGTGGAAGCACGAGGAAAGGGAAAGGGAAGGAAATGGCCAGGGAAGGAGATGGAAATAAAAGTGGAAATCAACAGAAAAACAAAGGGAATCAACAGGAAATCACAAGAATCAACAGGAAACCAAAAGGCTTCAACCGGAAATCAATAGGAATCCAAAGGGGAAATTAGAAGGAAATCAAAAGGAATCAAAAAGACAATCAAAAGGACATCACAAGGAACCACAGGGAAACCATTAGGAATCAGCAGGAAATCAATAGGTTTCTACAGGAAATCCATCGGCAGCAAAAGGACATCATTAGGAAATCAAAAGGAATCAAAAGCAAGTCAACAGGGTAGATGGTCGCGATGCTGTGGGCTGCGCCATCAATCCTGAATGAACGCACAAATGTACCTCTCAAATAGGTCAATCGAATTGGAAGTGGAAGCACGAGGAAAGGGAAAAGGAAGGAACAGGCCAGGGAAGGAGATGGAAAGCAGAAGTGGAATCAACAGGAAAACAAAAGGAATCAACAGGACATCAACAGGTTTTTAAAGGAAATCAATAGAAATCCAAAGGAAAATAGAAGGAAATCAAAGGGTAATTGCCGGATCAGATTCGACTTCGCCGGATCAGCGTCAGGGATCAGCATCTGGGATCAGATTCTAATTGGCCGGATCAGCGTCGTAGGATCAGATTTTAGCGGGACGGTCGGGATGGTCGGGACGGTCGGGACGGTCGGTGCACAACCAGTTATAACGACAGTAGGAATATATAACAGTTTTTATTCGACTTCGCCGAATCTCAGCAACGACAAGACGCTTGGGCGGGATGGCTGTGATGGATGAGACCTGCGTGACAACAGTGAGGATGACGGTCGGGATGGTCGGGACGGTCGGGATGGACGAGACCTGCGTGACAACAGTGAGGATGATGGTCGGGATGGTCGGGATGGATGAGACCTGCGTGAGATCAGTGAGGATGACGGTCGGGATGGTCGGGATGGTGTTGCCTAGCACGCGCCCGCCCGTCATTCCTGCGATTCCGATCTGACCAATCAGATTCCGAGCCTATGAATCCGATCTGAAATTAGATTCCGATCCTATGAATCCGATCCGAACAACACCCGAAATCAAAAGGAATCAACAGGAAAATCAAAAGGAACCACAAGGAAACCAATAGGAATCAGCAGGAAACCAAAAGATTTCAACACGAAATCAATAGGCGCCAACAGGAAATCCATAGCCATGTCAGGAAATCAAAGCTGAACAGGAAATGACAAGGGCAGATGGTCGCAATGCTTTGGGTTGCGCCATCAATTCTGACCGCACAAGCAACGCCCTACCAGTGAGAGCTCATTTTTCCTTTGCGCCATCTACTGTATTTTTTCCTGACCCGTTGGGGCAAATCACTACCAACAAAAGTCGTTGTGCCATCTACCCCCCCCCCACCTGCAATCACACCAAAAAAGTGTCCCGAGGTGCCATCTACCCACCCTCCCATTCTTTCCGAGTTGTTCCTGACACTTTCAAAGCGGTATATAATGTACTGTAGATAAAACACAAAAGTATGAAAACACAATAAACAAGCAAAACAAAAAAACAAACAGACCGACTCATACCAACAATGAAACAATTCAAAAGCAAACAAACAAACAAACCCACAAACAAACAACAAACGACAACAAAAACAATAAGACAAAACAGACAAACAACACGAAGAAACGCGTAAGTACGCAAGCACGCACGCAAGCAAACAGCGCCCTGTTCCCTTGTAATCAAAGGTGCGTTCATGGGAGTCCTTTCTCCACCAAGTCTTATATGAAATAGGAATTGGTAATGGGAAACCAATGTACCTGGAAACATCTCATAGGAAACATCTCATATCTAGGCAAAAACACTCAGATCACGATCTATTTGCATCAAACCAGGATCACAAACGAATGCACGAGACAACACTCTGTGCATGGGGTCAAGGAACGCATTGTGTTTCTTGAGAAAACCTGAAAACTGCGGCGAGCTGAAGGAGTGAAACGGTTCTTGTTCACAACTCATCAACATCAACGTGGTTTCTTTGTCACAAGTCTGTCTCAATCACCGATCGAACGTCAACAAGAATTTACAAGAATGGTAAACAGTTTCGTTTTTACATGGTCTCTTGCACATCACAAGTGCAAACAAATTCACATTGACATGTGCGAACTCAAATATCCAGTCCAGTCAAGCACAGCATCATCCATGCATATATACCGCACGGCTGCGTTTCGCATGCTTGCACTTGAAGGAGCCTGTCGCAGGCTCGCGCATCGCAAAACAGTGGGTCGCATGTTCGTGCAACGTGTCAAAAGTTCGTGCAGCGCACAACAGTGTGTCGAAGCTCGCAGTTACAGCAGCGCATCGCATGCTCGTGCATGGTGAAGCAGTGTCTCAAATGTTTGTGGAATGGGAAACCGTGTCAGTCTCTGTGTTGATTGCTCCACATCCCCTACTCCCGCCGCCACAGCCCCGAAACACACTGTTGTGTCCACATAGTGGCGTGGTGTACGAACGAAAGCCTTTGAATTCCTCTTACATATGCGACATGAATGCGGTCCTCGCTCGCGCGTGCGGTGACGTAGTCACGGAGCCTCTGAGCCACATAACACACAAACGAGCTACATGACTAACTGACTGGCCGACTGGCTAACTAACTAACGTTGGTGTCGCTGTCGCAGGCTTTTGCGTCTCAGCCGAATGCTAAAGCTGGGCACGTTGTCCGAGTCCATGATGGATCAGCTGAGCATGCAGGGCTCCCTGCACGCAGGAATTCTTCGAGACTTGGACAAAGCATTGCGATGACATGTTGAACATTGCAGAGAAGATGCAGCACCTCTATGCTCTTCAAGTTTGTCCAATCAACATCCTTTTCACACACCAACAAGTATAGATTTATGTGGTCAACTCTAAGTCAGCTTTGGCATTTTTTTCACAGATGGAATGTTTGTGACCTAATGATGACAGCATATAAAACCCCAAGCATGAATTTGTGTTTGATTGAACACGTTGTGCTTTGGCTGGCTTCACGGCCAACAACATCTTGTTGTGTCAACAACTTTTTCAGAAGCACTAAGTGACTAAGTGTCAAACCCGGGGAACACCATATAAAAGCATGTTGTTATTCGTGAACTGAACGCCTCCGCATAATTCAGGGTATGGTCGTTTTTTTGGGGGGGCGTTCTTGATTCTCTAGGTAGCCATTCCTAGCCTACCACCAGGACAAGTACCATGTGATTCTCTAGAATGAGGCCTAGTGGTCCCACATCGGATAGTTTCCAGTTCCATTGTCTTCTGATATGGTCCCACAGCTCACGAGCTCTCAGGGATCGTGATTTGGCTCTTGCTCATGAGCCATGTGGTGGCGTGCTTTTGGTTCGGCATCGCGGAGCTTGAAGGAGGGCCAAGCTTTTTGGCGATGAGAGGGGGACCCTTCGCCTTTCAGAGCCGGTGGAAGAGAGATGCTCCAACTTGGAAGGGGATCAGATGATACATGATGATACCGTTTGCAGATTTCGTGGGGAATGTCGGGAGTGTAATGGAAAGCCACCCCAAATCATAATTTCACTGCCCAACTGGTAGAACAAAAGTGCGCAGGTCCAACGGTCCAAGAAACCTTAAACAACAACATCATTGAATCATTGACTTTACAAAATGCTTTTCAACGGGCGAACCCGATTGGCCTCTTCGGACACCTATGGTGCGGTTTGGGAGCTCTTTACTTTGTTTTGGTGCCAGGCAGGATCTGACTTCTTGGGTCTTGAACAGCGCTGCAGCTACTGATAGATCTTTACCTTCCGGAATGTTAACCGGGAGAGATGCATTTGACATGCTGAAGGTCCACAAAGGTCCAAAAAGGCCGGGTGAATGACATGCTTTTTACGCTTTCAGGCCGTTGGCCCCAAATACGCTTCCAGCGTGGCGAGCGGCGAGAGCTAAGGCTGGGTGAGTGTCAATCAGATGGAAGACAAATCGCTGCTGTTTCAGTATGCCTCTCGAAAATGGATCACAGGTTTGGGTGGGGAACTTGGAAGGTAGCTTGACCCCCCTTTACCCTCTTTTGTTCAGTGGTTTGGAGATTTTGTTGGAGTCAAGCCGCTGATTTGTGTTGATTGCGGTGGGTGGGCACGGCGCGGATTTTCTGGGTGCCAGGCTGTACTTCTTGTGCCACAACTTGTGGACCTTGAAACCTTGGGGCTCTGCAGGATGCTTCAGTCTCAAACTCCAAGGTCTTGATGGACCAAAAGCTCGATGAACCTTGCCTTTTTGGCTCAGGGTTTACTGATGTTTGCTGTTTACATGGGGGTAGCGCTAAGAAATGATTCTGGGGGTATCTCAATGGGTGGAATCATTTTTCTGAAATCATTTCCTTGGAATCATTTTTTGGCAGGGGGGTCATAGGGGGTGTCAACGATGTCAGGAATCATTTGTACATAACTGTACTGAGAACATACTATAACGTAGTGTCCAGCGCGAAACTTCCCTGGATTCCAGGGTTCACTGATATCAGTTTGTTAGGGGGGTGCAACGGTCAGAATCATTGTCAGCAACCTATCTCACGCACACCCAGACTAATTCAAAGTTATTCCAGGGGGGGTTGAGTCAGGGACCCCATCAGAACGCATCCCCCATCAGTTACTAATTTTTGAAGGGGGGCGACAATCTGTTCTTTTGGTCATGATACAAAGCGTTTGACCTTTAATTTGGTCATATTGATGGGATCATCGTCGTAGATGGTATGAAGTAGATGGCGCTATGCTCTTTTCTCTCCAAACAGAGGCCACATGCTTGCATTGGGCGGTAGCCCAGTTGGGTGTGGGCCAGACCGAGCTGGAAGCCGTGGGCCTTTTCGAGAAGCTCTTCTCCATTGGAGCCGCTAGGAGTTGCAGAGGAGAGGAGAAGGTGTGGCAAAGTGAGAGGGCAAACCGTGGTCGAATGTTGAAGTTGAGGGCTCGCAGGGTTTGGGGTTCAAACTAAAACTGTCAAATCGACCGACCCAGGATTCAGGTTGGTCTGAAGATGAAAGACTGTCTAGCATTGAAAGACGATTCCAACGAGATCGGGTCTAACAGTACCCTCTCCCCGGATGTATTAAAATATAACCTTCCAAAATTTTCATATTTGGACTGCTCAGCACACTTCCAAGAAATTGTACCCCTTCCAAGTGCTTTCACCTCCCTGTTCCGGGTAAACTTGTGTGTGACAGGACACATTTCCAACTAGAAGATATGATCCAGATCTTGGAGTTCGGAACCAACAACTCTAAATTGGCAGTAGTGGTGCTTGTGGGGGTTGACTGCAGTGTTCTCCAACCATCTGGATTTTAGCACATGTTTGGGATGACGTGATCCAGGACCTCGACATGTGTGTGTAGTGTTATCTAACCTTGTTGAATTGGACCTGACTTCTAACAAAAGAGGACCAAACTTTAACCTGTCCTTTCACCAATGCTGCTGTTTGGAATTCCACAAAAAATACAACTTAAAAATTAAAACTGTGTGAACTCTCCGATCTTTACAAATGTTCAAACATTAAATCCGTGAACATTTAATGATTTCCACCTTTTTTCACAATTTGTTTCCGACTTTTCACTGGTTAAGCTATTTTCAGCAAATGTTCACAGACAACGCACAACTTGATAAGAATCTGTGCGTGTTCTCACCTATTTTAGTTAATTTCGCAAGCTTTTCCCAAAAACATGATTCGGCGACACATGTATGATTTATTGATTCTATGAAAAAAAATGCCGACATTTTCGACAATAACATACTTCGTCAACTATGGGTGATTTCGCATATATATATATAAGTAACTTTCTCAGTTTTTCACCAAATTATATATATATATATGTAAGGCCAAGACAACTTTCAAGGTTCGTGTCCGGATTTGGCAAACACCACCAGTTTGTCTCCCTGCAATTTGGTGGGTTTGTGGTCGCTCAACTAGTCAACGTTTTTGTCCAGAAAATGTGCTTTTGACCCACTGCCCGCACTTTAAGAGCTTGAGCAGCGGCCATGAGCTCAAAGAATTATATTGGCTCCCAAGAACATGTGAACAAAGCAATCGATGCCGATGGTTGTGGATTCAGAATGATCTTTCACACTGGAGGAATCCATGAAATCAACCCACTTCGCCAGCATCCACAAATGGCAACCCCAAACTAGTAATTGTAACAACCAGCGGCACCTACCGACGGCACCGAAAGAAGCACTGGATGTGGTCATTGATTGTTCATCCACAGCGCTCCCCGGGCGTAAGGCGTACGCCACTCAAAATATGGTTGTTTTTGTAGCGGCGTAAGGCTCGGCTGCTCGGTGTCCCTTCGCGCCGTGATCGCTGATTTCTTTAGGTGATGTTCGCTGCCCTCTTCAGCTTTTCCACCCTCCTGAGCTTCTAGGACACACACGGCGTGGAGTCTTTTCGCAGGGGGAACACGTTTTGGGGAAGTGGCTCGCACCCTTCCACTGAGTTTGGACGGGGCTTGTGCCACTTGCTGAAGCTTGACAGACTGGGCTTGTGTGTCCAACATAAACTCATGGTTCCCAAGCACTTCTGATGTTGAGTGCATTTTCTTAAAAGACCAACGTTGGTGGCACGTTTGTTTGCAGATCAAAGAACTTGTCGCCCACAAGAACTTGGCCAAATCAATGGGGGGGTATGGCCACCGCGATCACAGCATGCTTGGGGTAGACATCTGAGGCTCTATGACCTCCTTGCTGGCAAATATCTCACGGATGAGAAGCGCAGAGGTGCACAAGTTCAAGATGCTGCGCCGGTTTCTGGCCGACAACCTCATAGATGCTTTGCATATACCTGATCGGAACAAAATTCATCAAAAATCATATCTTCATTGCGACTCACGGCTTTGGATGTTGTTTTGTGGGATGGATGAAACTGACCCCCCATGTGCGAAATCTGCTCCAAAACCAAGAGAAAGAAGCGTGCTTCTGACTCATTGACAGCTTCCAAGTCAGAAGAAGAGTGAGGTGAGGCAAGATGAGTTCCGAACACCTGGTCGAACAAGTGAAATTCCACCTCCAGGAAGTCCGTTGATCAAATCTGATTTCCACTGAAAATGGCCCGCGTGCAAGTGGCCTGCCTCCAAGATTGTGCTAGGTCTTGCACCCTCTTACACTGCAGCATCCATGGTTCTCAAAGCTCCCAAATGCTCGCAAAAGATATCAAAAGCATGAGAGCTTTGGCTTTGCCCCATCGGGAGGCTCGGTCAGATGCTCCGGGGCTTCTTCGGGATTGGCTCAGGACCACGACCTTTCACATCGCATCACGCGCTTCTTGCAACACCGGTATGCAGTCCAAAAGAACGTGCAAGCGGTTGATGCGACTCGGTGCCGATGGAAAAGCGCCTGAAAGCGCAAAAACTGGGACCATCAGGCAGGGACTTTTTTTGTGGAACACAGGTTCAGCTGAGCTGGTCTGCAAACCTCCCTGTTCATGTTTAGTGGCGGGCTTGTCTATATGAATGCTTGGCCTAAGCAACACCTGGGTGTGCGTCAGGTTTTGGACACTTTTTGTGGGAGGTAGGAGTTGCGTGAGCTGCGTAAGCAAGCCCAACTTTAGCATACATGTCAGATTTACAGTGGACGTGGTCAGGAAACTTCATATACCATTGAAACATGCAGGGCGTGTTTCCCGCCAAACTTGAACTTCCTTAGAATAGGTATACGAACTCTTTGCTGCTCACCGCCTAGCCGCTGCGGATGCCACATGCCCAGCAGTGATTGTCAAGTGCCAATCCATTCTGCCAGATATCTCTGCTCGAACCGCGGTGCGTGCTTTACTTGGAAACAGATCGCACGTAAGCTGTGGCTGTGGCTTGGTGTAAAGATTTCTTGGCGTAAGTGCTGCTTCCTTGCAAGACTTGCAAGCTGCCATCGTGGTCGCGTAAGGGACCAGGCACGCTGCTTACGCAGGGGGCCATTTAAAAGAGCATTGTCAATGACATAGGCAGATGCTCAAACCGTGACCGTCTGACCGTCTGACCGACTGAGGCGACGCCCGACATCTTGGAGTTGTTGTCGAAGTCCTTGAAAGGCGCGGCGGAGGGCACGCGTCGAGGGTTGAGCGGGTGGAGCGGGATCCGAGCCAAGTCTTTTCGGTCGTGAACAAGCTGCAAGCATCTGCAAGCTGTGCAAATATCTTCCAAACACATAATTATGAGAACCCCAAAAACATAGCAGAGAACCCCAGGCCTCAGTGATGACATTTTCATGGCCATGAATGTGATGATACCAATACCATCCCAGTCTTTCGTTCGAAACCCGGATCTCGAAGAGTGGTTCGCCCAGCCACAGGTGAGCTGCAGGTGCAACGGTACAAGGAGAGTCGAATGAATCGGTCAAAGCGTTGGACCAGCTCAGCTCTGGATGCTGTTTGTGTATGTGAGTGTCGTTAAAAAAAACACATCTACATTGTCCATTTTTTAGTAAACAATTTTTCAAGACTGATTTTTCATGATTTTGCTATATATAGGTTGTTGCAGAATTTGGCAACACACCGAGTTGAGCGATCGACACCAGGCGTAACGTAAAAGTGACAGTCAAAGAATGTTGCAGATGGTGACGGATGTCAGAAAGAAACAGAGCTCGAGCACCGAGCACGTCACTCAAATCGTGGTTTTTTCCGCGGGTCCGATCGTTTTGGCCGTGATTCCAAGATTCACAGCTTAAGACGTGAGCATCTGTGACTAGGAATTTATTTTTACCTTTATTGCACACACATCCAAAAGAAATTCAAAAAAAAAACTTGCCACCGACATCCCAAATGTAGCACTTCTCAGAGCGTGTTTCTCTACGTCTTGTTCTCTCATGTTCTGACCATCGCCGCGGACCGGATCGGCGTCCGGCCGAGGAGTGCCTGAAGGAGTGGGATCTGACGAAAGAGCTGCACGACTGTGGCTTCCCGGGGATCTTCGAGGTCCGCTCCGTGGCCTTGCACGGCCTCAAGCCGCCCGGTGACCAGTGGTGGTGATCAGTGGTTCAGTGGTCGGGTGAAAAAAGGAAGGAGGGTCACAGAGTATCCAGCTATGACGAGAGCTGTAGCTGAAGATGGAATAGCTATGATAAGTATAGCTTTAGGACCTTATAGATCTTATAATTAGTATTAGATGCCCTCAAGTTTTCGGTTTTGTTACAGGCGTTTTAGATTATACTAGGCCCATGTGTTTCCCAAGAGAGTGCCTATGGAAACCCAGATGGCTCCCAATCATTCACAGTAAGATCCCTGAGAAAGCTGGCAAAATCTCAGAGAAAATCTTCAGCGCTCTTGCTTTTTTGGTCGCACAACTAAAAAAAGCAAGATTGTACAAGGTTTTGGGTGGTAGTGGTGTGGGTTTGCCTTGAGATGCCTTGAGTATTTCTTCTTTATTTGTTGGAGTTTGATTGTCTTTTTTGTGGGTTATCTATGGGCCTGATGATTTCCCACACTAAGCCCACCAAACTCAAAGCACCAAACAAACCTGACCAAATCCCAACCAAATCCAAAAAATGGGCTGGGACCAGAAATTAAGATCCAATTGACCAACCTCACCCAGACTCCACTTGCCACCCAAAGATTATAGGACTTCACTTTGTTTCGCTTGTGGCCCAATATCTGGTTTAGCTGTGCAGGCCCTTTCTACTGTCTTCGTTGAGGAGCACAGTAGAATTTGACAACGGTTCATTTTCCCTCAAAGCAACCATTTGTTTTGAGATCAACACTGATTCACCGGCCAGTGGCGATGCAAGGCCCACGGCCTGAGCATGGAATCGAATGTCTATACCTAGTCAATTCAGTTTGACTACAGAAACCTGGGGTACCATGGGAGTTTTCAGGGGTTGGAATGGAGGGCCATTTAATTTAGGAATTTGTTTTGTTCTTTTTTAGGTTTTTTTGTTTCTGGTGGCTTTTGGCTTTCGTGGCTTTTGTGGCTTCCGTGGCTTTTGTGGCTTCCGTGGCTAGTGTGGCTTCCGTGGCTTTTGTGGCTTCCGTGGCTTTTGGCTTTGGTGACTTTCGTGGCTTCTGTGGCTTTTGGCTTTATTGGCTTCCGTGGCTTCTGTGGCTTTTGTGGCGTTTGGCTTTCGTTGCTTTCGTGGCTTCTGGCTGTTTGCTACTAGTCCATCTTTGGAGGAATGTGAAGTCTGAGGCACAGCTACCAGATGTAAGACGGTCTTGTTTTCATCCAGACGATTCCTTTGGTGGCTTTTCGCTTTTGGTGGCTTTTGATGACTTTGACTTTCGGCGGCTTTTTTGCCTTTTCGTGGCTTCGGCTGGCTTCTGTTGGCTTTTCGTGTCTTCATTCACTGATATGGTGTAAATGTGCCTGGCTGTTTGCCAGCTATGACAGCGCCCAAATCTGTCTACCTATCCATCTATCTGTCTATATCTATCAGTCTATATCGATCTATTTTTCTATCTGTCTGTCTATCCATCTATCTAACTTTCTTTCTTTCTTTCTTTCTCTTTGGCAGCTGTTCTCCTATCTGTTTTTGCTTTTGCTTTTCCATTTGTTAGCTTTGCAGAGAAGAAACCAAACAAGGAAGCAAGCAAGCAAGCCAGCCAGCCAGCAAGCCAGCCAGCCAGCCAGCAAGCCAGCCAGCCAGCAAGCCAGCAAGCCAGCAAGCCAGCAAGCCAGCAAGCGAGCAAGCGAGCAAGCCAGCAAGCCAGCAAGCCAGCAAGCCAGCAAGCCAGCCAGCCCGCCAGCCGGCCAGCCAGCCAGCCAGCAAGCAAGCAATGCTCACGTTTGGATCTGGTGATCTCTCTGACACCTACACTATTCCAAAGTATTTTGCCAGCTACGACAGCTCCCAAATCTGTCTACCTATCCATCTATCTGTCTATATCTATCTGTCTCTATCTGTCTGTCTATCTATCTATCTATCTATCTATCTATCTCTCTGTCTGTCTGTTTGTCTGTCTGTCTGTCTATCGATCTATCTATCTATCTTTCGATCTATCTATCTATCTGTCTGTCTATCGATCTATCTATCTATCTCTTTCTTTCTTTTGTCCGACTTTCTTTCTGTCTGTCTGTTTGTCTTTCCTTCTTTCTTTCCTATCTACCTATCTACCTATCCTATCCTATCCTATCCAATCCAATCCAATCTAAATCTCATCTAATCTAATCTAATCTAATCTTATCATCTTTTCTTTTCTTATCTTATCTTATCTTATCGTATCTTATCTATCTATCTATCTATCTATCTGTCTATCTATCTATCTATCTATCTTTCCATCTATCTATCTATCTATCTATCCATCTATCTATCTATCTTTCTTTCTTTCTTTCATTCTTATCTATCTTATCTATCTCTTTTTATCTTATCTATCTTATCTATCTAATTTATCTTATCTATCTTATCTATCTAATCTATCTAATCTACCTAGCTACCTAGCTACCTAGCTATCTATCTATCTAGATATCTAGCACCTGCCACGAAATCTGCACTTCAAGGTCCACAAAGTACTGTGCCTGCCACGAAATCTGCACTCCAAGGCCCACAAAGTCCTGCACCTGCCACGAAATCTGCACTCCAAGGCCCACAAAGTCCTGCACCTGCCACGAAAGTCCTGCACCTGCCACAGAATCTGCACTTCAAGGTCCACAAAGTACTGCGCCTGCCACGAAAAACAAAAACATCCAAGACAAAAACAAGAAAACATCCTAAATTTAATCTGAGCCCGGATGGAATCGACCCGGACTGAACACCAACCCATTTGCGGTACTTGGACCATCGTGGATTCTTAGATTTTCTCGCGTCGTCCCAATAGAGTCTCTCCTCAGATGAATTAGGCCGGAGATGCACGCGGTCGGCGATGTGATTTTCGCCGCGGGGTCACTGGCAACCACATTCTTCTTCTTGGCCAAAGGGGGCTTTGCATATTCTCGCCACTGGTTATTTCAAGGGAGCGGTGTGAAGCGTGAAGCCAAGTGTCAGCACGAGGGCTGAGAGTTTGGGTTCCGGCTGCAAAACATCACAGAGAGATACATCATAGACTTGTATTTTTGTAAACTGATATTAGTATATTAGAGTTCTGGCAAGGGCAAGAGATGATGGGTGAGCACCCGACTACCTGAGAAAATACTCGCTTGTGCACCCGAAGCCTGTTGACTGCACGGTATGATGTGGATGTTCCCTGGAGGCCAGGAGATATATTATAGGAACCGGATATGCCTTAGGTTTACAAGAAACAATACAGACCACAGAAAAGCCACGCAGATCCACGCAGATACCCATTCCATTATATATTCCTTTGGCAACTCGGCACATACACATACGTCAATGAAAGCGGCTTGTTGCTTCTGGTGGTAGAGCTCCTGCAGCATTGACCCGAAAGTAATTGCTTCACCCCACGCAGACCAGTGTTTGTTCAGTATTCTCTGGTGTGATGAACTCAGATAAGTGCGTGTGCGAATCCCTGGACGGGAGTGTAACTTCCCCCGCACTAAGAAAGGTACGTAAGTGCATAAGTCTGAAAGTAAACACAAAGGTACAGGTGTGTGGGAAAAAAAACAGGTAAACCGCCTAATGATAGAAATCCAAGAAACGATCAACTAGACTCCAGCCTTGGTTTTGGGATTCCCTTGGTCTGTCAACTCTTTTTAAGGCATTATTTTGAATTGTGCAAGGATAGATTATGTTTTAAGGCAAAGTCAACAACTGAACTTTATCCTTAAGATGATGGACCATGCATCTGCCCCGGACATGAGAATGCCCCCCTGGCAGTAGAAGCTTGTTGATGAATGCATCACCTATTTTCATGGATAGCATCCCTACTAATATGTATCAGACCCCCGCTGAACCCAATGCCATGAGACGGGCAGATTGAATTGCACTACGAGAAGGGACCCAAATCTTGGCATGAGGTAGATTTTGAGGGAATGGGCATGGTGACTGTTGACCCACCCAAATTCTTCACATGTTTGTTCTTTCTTGCTGCCCAAAGTATGTATTCCAAATATGACTCCTAGTTGCTCGCAAGACACATGCATCAAGAAAACGTTTGGTTGAGCTCATCAAGCTTGCCACAAGGAGAATTTTCAGAGAGGAATCCACTGTGTTGCACCTGGGTGGCCGAAATGTGCCTTTGGACCAAATGGACCTACGCTGGGGATTTGGTTTCGAAGGAGACTGAGAAACGGGGGAACCTTTCCACCCCGCCGGTGGGAAAACTCGGTTAGAGGCATCAGCAAAAGACATACCTCAATAAAAGGGCAAACACAAACACCCCTATTTGTGACGATATATGAAAACTATGTATAGTATTGTATATTTAGTATATTATCACACCAAAACTATATATATATATACATATTAGTAGACCTTAGCCCCCCGTCCAAAACGCACCTTTGACACGTGTTGCTCACATATGCTTGTCTCGTTGTTTCTTGAGATCAAGTATTCCTTCACACATCGGACATATCCATCGCCTCCTCTATATTGCGAGAAACTGCAAGACACATTCCTTTAGAGAAGACTCCCTTCACACAAGTTTTTTACTGTTTATGTAAGCCTCTTTGGTTTTGAAGTGCGCCCGGTCTAGTGCTGTCCCAGCTCTGTTTCATTGATATGTTTTCTCTCAACAACATCCTCCATTGCCAGAAAGTGTACTGTACTCGTCTATAAGGGCCTTCATGTCCCCGACTATAAGGGTCCCATCCTCTATCCATGCTTATGCTTGGTCATTTTAAAGTATGGTCCTTGCAATTACATCCTTTCTTCCTGAAACTCAAACATGTAAAATTTCAGGCATGGTTCTTTACTTTGTGAGGGCTTCGCTTTGTATCATGAGCGTTTCCTTTTATGCGTTGTAAAGGTCGTTTTGTCTACAAAGGTATTCCTCTTTGCAATGTTGAAATTATCGTGGAAAACACTCATGATTCATCAGAGTTCCTACATCGCCCCTGAGCCTGCCCCCAAGATTGGTCCAAGTCCAGAAAAGTGTTGTTGCAAAACGTCCTGTGGGATGTCAAAATCAATCAATCTTAAATAGTGCCTTAGTAGACGAGACACATTTAGATGAGCAGCTTCAAACAATCGGAAAAAAGGCGCAACTGAAAAATAAAGCATTGTTTCCAAATCTGCTGAACAAAGCAGCAAAGGGATTCCGGCTGGTGAGGCATCCATACTCCAGAACGGAATCAATCCACCATTGTTCGTACGCTGATCTGTGGTGTGAAAACTCAGTTGATCCTGATCAGAACAGGCTAAGCACAGTGTGTTTCCTTGTGTGGTTGGTTCCTCATTAAGGTCTTAATCGAGCCAAATCTATTCTGGCTTCCATGGTTAAATTCCCCCAAATGCACCAAAACGGTTCTCATCCTCCAAGAACCCTTATTTGTGTCCAAAATGGGCCCGTGTGCGGTTCACACCTTCCGATTTGGGCCAATCGTGGTGGGCATTGGGGCGGGGCCCAAGGCGGGGATGCAGGATCTCATGAAACACCTCCAAAGTGGTCGGATGTTGTCGGAAACCTGTGTGAAACACCCTTTTGTTTATTTGAGTCAAGGTCTTCATAAGATTGACGACATGTTCCTGTCAAGGGATTGAATATGATTGAATCCTCCAACCCAGAACAGTTTCGTTTGAGAAGGACTAACCATTCAAGCGATCTTGTCGATAATGCCAGCTGGTTCCCTGGTTTGCCAAGAAGCTTGTTACGTCACGTGTCCAAGGTGAACAACGCGACATGCACACCCCTAAAATCCATATCAAGTCTTCTAAAAATTACTTTGATTTGAACAACCAGCGGACATCGTTCCACAACAGTTTCTGGCAATTATTCAGGTTTGTCACACAAAAACAGCTAGTCCTAGGTTCCCTGGTTTGATGGAGGTGAACAATCAACCAATGACCCATCTTTCTCCATATCAAGCAGCCAACAGTAGCGCCGCTTGTTTGCATGCTGCCCCTGTGTCGAGAAACACACCACAGGCCATCGAAAAGGTCATCCACACAACTCACACATTTGGTCCCCTACTTGTAGCCCACAAAGTCACACAGTTGTAGCCCACTCTGCGTCTTTACCCTGTCTTTCTGCGTCCTGTGACTGCCCAGATCTGAGACCTCGACCGCGTGTGACAGGAGACCTCTCGCGTCATCTCGGTGGATGTGGATGCGGTGTCCGACTACTTGGGCCAGGTCAACGAGACGCGGTCGATCACCTCAGCCTATGCGAGGCGTTGTGTGGATGAGATCAACCGTGTTGGTGCGGTGTCCGACTTGTGGGAAGACTATGAAGCGGAAGAGGATGAGGCAGGGCCTGGCAGGGCCTGGGCTGGCAACCTGAATTTTTCCGTTCTTCTTTTTTAAGAAAGGAAAGTTAGACGAAGCAGGTGAAGCATAGCAAAGCGATTTTCGGGAAAACCCATAGCAAAGTTTTTCGAGATCTTCGTCCGGAGGCCCAAGCCTCGACACCGCGACATGGAAAGAACAAGAACGGCCTTGGCCTGGCAAAGATCATCCCTTGGGCCGAGGAGTTCCCTTCATTTTGAGACTTGACGGGTCAGGATGGGTCAGGGAGGAGGAAAGAAGCATGGCTTGCATAGGGGAAAGACAACAATGTGACGAATTGGGAATCAACAAGCATGTGAATGGCGTGGGAGACTTGTTGACATTCTTGTCCAATGTTACAGCATGGTTAGCGGTACGAGTGCCTATGCAGAATTGTGGCAACAGTCTGTGGGACACTCCGAAACATGGGTTCCTCACCAGGTGCATGTCCACACCGAGAGGTGCATGTCCAGGTGGGGTGTTCTGCACTCTTGACCTATTTGACCAATCCTCATGTGGTGACTCTATTGATGCATGAAAAACGGTGAGAAACGATACGTTGCCCACTTACCATTCGGCACCGCTTCAAAGGACATCAATTCTGCGGTCTTTGAGATTGGAAGATGTCTGGCGTCCAGATGGAAGAACTGTCATGAGCTTGTTACGGTGATGCCAGAAGATAAGATAATTACTGTCCAAGGCCTTGTATGCAAGAAGCAGTTGCTGGCAGCTCTGATCGCTGCATTCATTTCTAGTCTAACTCGTTTACATCCATTTGGCCATTTGGTTTTAGATTGTGCTTGTTGGGCTATCGCACTCCTTGGATGTCGGAACAGCAAGATTTTGTTGTCAATACTGCATTCTTCCCTGAGCCTGATTTGTCCGGGGGGCCAAGAATGTTTCTTTGGTGGGCGAAATTTGCCATCAATGTGGTACGCCATGAGTTGCGGCCATATGGCCATGCAGAAGATCAGCCAGGTGCCACGGAGTGGCGTAAACTCCGCGTCGCCACCGATCAGTCTTGGCCCAAAAAGGCTTGAAGATTCATTGCTTCGGATGAATCATGACATATCTTCCCTGAAGGGCGTGACTAACACCACCCCAGACATACATGTGGGTCCAGATGGTCAACCTTTGAAATTCGCAAGTGTTTGTTAAGAGTTTCCCCAAAATGCATCATATGGATGATGCTCACAAGCACGACACGAATCGAAGTCTCAGCGGCCATTGAGTGGCCTGTGTGGTACATTTTCTTCTCACTAGCTTCTTCGGGAACCATTGAAGGGCACAACAAAGATTGGTTGGTTCCGGTTGAAAGGCCCTCCGGAGTGTCCTTGCTTGGGGACTTCATTCAAGTCCTCCACTCAAAAAGGCACAACACATGTCTTACATATTTGCCCTGCACCAAAGGTGGAGGGGCATGCGGCAAACGTCGTGGCAACTTGACCCGGATGTGGCCCAATACATCCAAGCCCAAAGCACCATTCTTGGCGACAGGTCCGATGTTGCTCAAATGTCAACCCGAGAACAGTGTTTTCATGTGTTTTCTATTTTTTGGACCCCCCGCCCCTGAACAGAACAGCACACTCCGAACACAAGTAACAGAATCACATATGATTACCATTTTCTATTGGAATTACCCAGACCCAAGTCAAACAGTTTCAGGTACATAATTGGAAGTTATATTTGACCCTTCTTCTAATCTCAACCTGGCCCCTAGCCATGTTCCTGGATTCCTTCCCTCCAACGCTAGCATGAGGTTGGACAACAATAGCAACAACGACAACGACAAAATGTACAGCTACAACAATTGACAAGTAAGTATCACCACAATAACTGTACAACAGCAACAACAAGCAGCGAGAGCAGCAACAATTCGTTGGTGGTTACAACTGTTGGAGTTCTTGGAATGTCAAGAGAACCTCTTCCAGAAACCTCTTGTTTATTCAACCCCTTGGGGCACATTCCAGTCACGCGAAGACATGCGAAGGCATTGAAATTCAGGTCTGTACAGCGCCGCAGCGCGAGGGCATTCTTTTGATGAGAAGCCCAAAACCAACCACCCCCGCCCAGCTTCAAATAGAACTTGTCAAAGTAGTTGGCGTTCTTGCTACTAGTAGCGTCCTTGCTCCTAGTAGTACGACCAGGAGCTTCTAGTAGCGAACATTGTTCCTAGTAGCGATGCCAGGAGCCCCTAGTAGCGTTCTTGCTCCTTCTGAAGTCCGTTAAGATGCCAACATGAAAGGTCATGAAAGTACATAGCGTACGTCCCATTGGGATTGATGGGATCTTGCCAACGAATGCAAATACCTTTTTACATAAGGCCTACAGTAACCTGTTTGGGAGTTGCGCCTTCTACTTTGACCCCCCTGGTGTTTCTCTCTGAAGGATGCTCTCGCCTTGCATGATCACTCGTTCCTCAGCGAGAGACAGCGACCTCTGATGTAGCGGTACGTATGCCGCTCCTAGGGTTTGCCCAACACCGTTGGATCCCAGCGCATGTAAATGCAACATTTCATAAAGCCCAGGCAGCCAGGTGTACTCCGTTTGGTCAATGGTTGGGTTCTGTTCTGGCAGTGATTGTGATCCGGCTTCTTCAAGATGTATTTCCATCTTTGATGTCCAGGCTGACTCGGGATCTTGGCCTCGCACACCTGTTCCATTCGCTCCATCAATGCAAGGGTTCATGCCGATGTCGGTGCAGGTTCAGAGTCGACCAGGGCGGTTGAGTCGTCTGATCCAACGGCAGACGAGGCGTCCACCTTTCGGTGCGGCGGAACGCGTCCACGAAGAGCCCAAAAGGACGATCCGCGCGAACCAGGGTCGATGGTGTCCAGCTGTACGTGTCCGTGGTCCAGGGATGGTCCATGGTCGAACGTGTCGTGGGCCTGCGTCTCCAGGTGGTACCAGTGTTTTCCTGAAACTGCTGATCAGGAGCTCGGGTAGAACCTCTTCTGGGCAGTTTGAAGCAACTCATACTCCGCGTTGGGTTGGATGTGATACAACCGCTTGCAAGTCTGCAGAAACTTCACTTCCAAACTCCCTTTCACTGTCCAAGCTTCTTCCGGCTTTTTTTGCAGGGGCCCTTCCGACAGGCAAGCAGACGAGATGAAGCCGTGAAGCAGCAAGCTGCTGATGCAAATCCGGGAAATGTGGACATGTGCTGCTTTGGACTGTCATGCATGTGGTGTGCAGTGCCAACAAGAAGCCTGTGCAAGCGTATTGACAGGGCCTGTCAGGGGGTATTTTATCAGATGGCATGGCCGCTTGAATGGCGTATTGTACTTGGGGGACCTCGTGATCCACTCGGGTGGTTCTTGATTTACTCACGCAGGGCTTTGGAAGGATCAAGTTGGAGGCCATGCTTCTTTCAGGTCTACCCGTTGTGACCATGATCGGACCATGATCTCCCCTATCCTCACTTGGCACATCGAGCAGATGGAAGATCCCCGGCTGCCATCCTATGCCCTATGGAGAACTGATTTTCGTAGCTGGCGAAGCTGGGTGGGGCATGCAGTCACTCTGACTTTCAGCTCCGATGCATGCAGCTCAAAGGACGACAACCAACGAAAAAGCTCAACATCTATATACTGTATGTTCAAGTATGACCAACAGTATTGGGCCAACATAGAGCCAAGATAGATCTTAGACCTTAGATATATACACATGCTTATATATTGCGTATATCCACCAACCTAAATAGTATATTATATGGGCCAAGGCCAGGTTTTTGGGGCCAAACCAACACTTTGTGCCACTCATCGGTCGCCAAGAACTGAAAATTGGAACGACCCCAGGCAACTCCGACCAGAGCGAAGAGCGCAAAGAGCGCAAAGAGCGCAAAGAGCGCAGAGCCTGTTGAAAGTATTTTTTTGTTCAATTTCCATCATTTCAGTACTGCTTTGCACTTGCGTGCATACTAGCTGGACCCTTCGGAACAGACTCTGAACAACCCATCAACCACCTCGATTTGGCTTGAAGTGCCACCTGGGCCTACCATTCGTAGAACCAGACCTTTGCCGCAGAGCTGCGATGCAATGACATGTTTCGGCGACCTGGGTGTCCTCCTGGGTCTGAGCATTTTGCTGCTTGGGTTCGAGCTTTACACGTTTTCTGGGGTTGCCGTATATATATTATATACAGTATATGTTTGGGAATAGTAGTTCCTTTTGGAAGATGGATCTTGGTTGTGGGCCACACTTCATTCTAGTACTGTAACGATGTAATGGTTTGAGTTTGAGGATCTTGAACGAAGATTGGAGGGTGCCCGACAGAGCAGACCGTGCGGAAGAGCGTTTTTTTAGCTAGGCTGGATTCACAGACGAGGCGACGGTAAGATACTCGTAACTTGTTCATGCTTCCAATGATCACCCTACCTCTCACAAATCAAAGTGACTTGTTTCCCTTTGTACATGCTGGTTCGTGTGACATCTGTACTGTGGGCTGTGGGTGTAAGATGAGGTCGTGCAATGTATGATTCTGCTCCAAGTGAACAGGGTGATTTGCCACTGAGGTGGTCGCGGGTCGAGGCTTCTTGGAGGAGGAAGAGACAGAAGCGCTTGGATCTCTTGCAAGACCTGGCACGCCGGTGCGACCCAGAGATGGCCAGCCCGGGGCAGGCCAAGCAGTCAAGTTTTAGTCAACCAACCAACCAGCCAGCCAGCCAACCAACCAACCAGCCAGCCAGCCAGCCAACCAACCAACTAACCAACCAACTAACCAACACTCTTGGATCTTGCTGCTCCCAACTTGGCGCGCCAGAGGCATAGATGAAAAATGCGGGACCATTGCGCATTCAGACCAGTATGTTTTCAAACACACATTGCTATTAGGTTGGAGGCCATTGCTATTAGGTTCCAGGCCATCGCTAGTAAGGTTGGAGGCCATCGCTGCATTGCTATTAGGTAGATGTTTTCAGACACCCATTGTGCACCCCAGAAATCGCTGGACTTGGATCTCACGGGACCCGAGACGCGTCTTGAGGTCGGGTCTTGGGCCGAGAATTAGTGTCTGGAGGTGGGGTGCCGTTGGAAGGTTGTCCGGAGCTTGGGAAGGGACGAAGCGGCGCCTCCAGTGCAGGATCAAAGCGTTGTTGTACTCGTACCATCTCGTACCCATACTCACTCCGAGCTCGGCAAACACGCCACAGCTTCCGAATCTGTGGGTGTCCAGATGCTGTGGCAGGGGGACCTGAAAGCTACGAGAATACCGTGGCGGAGAGTGTGCTGCGCTCGGGGCCCGGATCGCGCTGCGGTCGCCATGGACAGGATCCTATCAACAGCTTGATAAATGGTCTAACTATGTCTATAAATTTATGTCTAAATGATATTCTAAAAATTGGTGGAAAGCGAACCCACGCCTCCAAAATGCTTGCCGAGGGGTGCCACCTGGACCTGTTGCTATGTCTTTGTCATGCGGTGAATCGAACACTGAATCGCCGAGGTGCAGTGCGGCAGTACCAGGCCGCACGGCTGGATTGGGAGAGTCAAGACATGTCTTAGCATGGAAAACGATGGATTTCGCTCGCCGCCGGCGCAATCCAGCCACCATGGCTGCGTACAGTTCTCAAGAACCAGCGCAGACATGCACAAATCACTGTTGCTTTCCACTTTCAGTGGTTCATTCACTTCTTCACACTGAAAGGATCAATAGGTTCTGATCGTTCTTGGTAAGCGAGAAAGAACAGACACAGCACAACAAGGACCGGGTTCATGGGCTTCGGATCGACGAATCGTGCATAGCCCGCGGTGGGAAGCCACTCAGACGGATTGTGACTTATGAGGCCTCGACAGGTTGCCTGTGGTGTTTTGTGCTGGTAGGTAGGTACTGGTATATTATGATTGTATAATATATTTACCATTAAATACCATGAAGGAATATGAAGGAAAATCTACAAAATATATACTCAAATCACTTCATTGAACCTAGAGAGCATTGAGGGTCAGCCTTGGACCCTCGAGAGAAGCCTCCCTAGCTGTGCCGGCCTCAGTGATCAACACGAGCCGAAGAACCGACAGACGCGGAGATTTGGGGCAACAGCAGATCTGCTTCAGGACCAGCGGCCTAGATCCGAGCGCTGTGCCCCACCGCCCCTTGGTCAGCAATAAGGTCAAGCGAAGTGATCCGCACAGCAACAGTGGTGACCCAACACTCGAGCTTTGCAGGGGAAAACATAGCAGGCTGGCAGGCAGCCTGCGGCCGACAACAAATGAATGAACAGTAGATTTGCCACTGCAAAACTCAGAGCAACCACGGCTGTTGTTGAATTTGGGTCCCACGGCTGGCACCCTGTTAGACATATCCTCATGAGTGTCAGACCCGATTCCTCCAAATACAGTGAAACGAAGCGTTCCGCACTGGGATTTGAGGACCTTCGGAGAATGCTGTGCTGCCTGACTCTCAGATGGAGCGCCGTTTGCTTGTACACTTGACATGATGCTCGCTTATACATGTATATTTCACCACCTGAGGACGGTGCAATTGCATGCAGGAACATTCAGAAAACAACAAAGAACAGGGAGAAGCAATCGTTCGAAACAAACCACAAAGAACAAGAAACCGACCACGAACAAGTAGACTTTCAAGTTGTTTCGTTCGATGAAGCGACCATGTTTGAAGGAGCTGGCTGCTGAGTGTAGTGCTGAAGGCCCCAGACCCCAACCTTCACGATGCAGGTGAGTGTAAGATACTTTTTGTTTGTTGGTGCTTGAGTGTAGTGCTGTAAACTAAACTTGTTAGTGCTTGTGTAGTGCAGGATGCAGCTCATGAGTGTGCGCTTAGTTTGTGCAGTGTAGTGTGGTGTTGTAGTAGGCCCCACCCCTTCAAGTGCGGAGTGCCCGACCCCGGGCGGCGCCGACCCCGTGGGGCGGGACCTCGCGTGAAAGGGCTGCGGTCTCAGGTGACGCCGGGATTGAGTGCGGTGCGGTCCTTGAGCAGCTCAGCGGGAGGTTTGCTCAGCCCAATGTGGGGAGGCCAATGAAGGCGACAGATGGGAATTGAAAGACTGAAAGTTGCAACATGTGGGTGGACTGACGGTGAACTGACGATCCCAGTCAAGGCTTTCATTTGGGGATGAAATGTTGGGGGTCCAATGTTTGAGGTGCAATGCTACAAAGACTAGCATGAAGAGATTTAGGCCTGTTTAGACCCCCACATCGAACATTGCCTTGTGCCTATTTGCAAATTTACCGCCCTGTTCGTATGCTGACCCAGAGAAGCTGCGTGTCAGAACTCCTCAAACATTACAATCATAGACTTACAACATCCATTTGTGGCCTTCGCAAATTTTTTGGGCCAGCGACCACACTGGAAAGTCAAGTGCCAAAGCAGGATGTAAAGCACTAGTGGCTCTCACATCATGTGCAATCCATTCTTTGGGAGCAAACCATACTCCTCAGACTTCTTGCAGCTTTGCTGAGCTGGCTGTTGGGTTGTGAAGCATCATTTTGGCTGCCATGTATCACCACGGAGGGTGGACAGCTGTGAGTCCGTAGTGGTGGGAGTAGAAAAACATCATGCTCTCAGTGTGATCCGAGAGCATCGGCATGCCCAAGCGGCTTGGACATTGTGGGCCCACGCCAACGCTAACTTCCTGGCGACTGGGTCCCTACATACAAGTCTGGTGCAACGCGTAGTCGCCCCAGGCTGCAACACGCCGGCCTGGTGAAGGATGAGGCGGATGGGCAGATGTGGCTGGACGGACCTCCATGGACCGGAAGATACCCGCCACCACCAACCTGATGAAGGTGCTGGTTGGCCATTGCATCTGGAGATCTATTTTTCAACCATGTTGGGGGATCTTCTGTCCCACAAGGCTTTACCGTAGACACTTAGAAAGGAGGGAGAGTGTATGATGGACTGGGGCAAAAACGCTTTGCAACCATGGCCAAGCCTTGCCAAGCCACGCCAAGCCATGACAAGCGGGCTTTTCAGAATCCTGAAACAAGAAGTCGCTGTCCGGTCCCGCCGCCTCTCAGGTGGACGTTGACCCAGAGGACTTACTGTGTGAGGATGTGAGGCGTGGAAGATGGTTCCCTGCTGAAGACGACCGCATTGGGTGCGAAGAAAAACAGTTCCTCCACGGATTGAGCAGATGTTTTGTGAGAAGGGGTGTTTCTTATTCCATTGTAAGACAAGCCCTGCACTTTGAAGATTGCGAAACCCATCTAAAACACTGCTTTGTGGAGTTTGTGGAGGAACGCTGGACTGCGACATGAGATAGCTGGACTGCCTCTGGCATGTTTGGATCATTCCATGTCAACGATTGGACGCCATTGATTCGGTCAACGCCCTGGAAAACGTGGCATGGTACACCAGATACATACCCAAGATAATATATTCATATATATACACATATATATATATATTTAATCGATGGTACCCACCCTCTTTCGCATGTGTAGGTGCTGGCTGAGTTCTACCAGCCGCGCTTGGCACTCAGGGTTTCAATCTGCTGATGTCGCAGAGAAGAGGTCATCGCATCAATAGAAGCCTCCATGCGCCCCTAAGTAGCCTGCTGGGGTTTGCAGCGGGTGCGCTGTCACCTGTCAAAGTGTTGCGTATCATCTTCAGGGCCTTCAGGGCTCAGAGCTAGATGACCAAAGGGTTCTGTTGGCATGCCTGATTTGGATCTGCATCGAGAGCTATGAAGCACCATCGAAAGACTAAGCATCCCGAACGTAGCAGCTCCAGATCATTCTAATTTGCAATCATCCCGACTTCCATCACATACAAAACCACCTGGCACCTATCTATCTCATTCTATCTCTATCATTCTCTATCTGGTAGGTCATGACATTCATCACCTCAGCTCTCTCCTCACCGACCCGAGTGCCGACACCGAGCCTGGCCGAGCCTTTGCACCCGCTTCGGCTGATCCCAGGGGGAGCTGGAGCGGCACCTGGGCTTCTACCGGCAAGTGCTCATGCGCCCGGAGGCCGCACCGGGAGTCAGTGGGGCGGTGTAAGATTTGTATTACACAGTAAGATTGTGAAACAGTGAAAAAAGTGAAACACAGAAGTGTGGACGCTTAAGGCTGTATAGGGGTCTCTACTGTTGTTGGAAGGGTTTTAGTGATCATTATATAGAACGTAAAATGAGTATATGTATAGCGACCATGGACGCGCGTTGGTGTAGAAAACACGATGCTTTCATCAGGTCAGCACGATCATTACCAAGCACATGGATTCCTGGAAGAACACCAGAGGCAGTCTCTGGTGTTGCTTTAGAGCTGTGATGTCCGTAGCACTGGGTCAAAGCAGGTCCATCATGCCTTTTACCAAGCACTTGAAAGAACGAGCCGCACGGAAGCTGATCGCTTCAAGGTGTTGCGTCGGATGGCTGGCTTGGGCATATACCTTGCTGCTAGTTTCTTCGACCATGATAATCTCAGTGCTTGGGTTATTCACTTCGCCCCTTGTTCTGGGATGTGCCACTGTCTTGCTCGTAGCCCCTGCAGCTTGCCGCGCCAAGAGCGTTGTGGAGCCCATGTGGCACCCTGCAACAGTCATTCTCCCAACTCGTGCCTCTCTTCTGGGATTGGACCCAGAGCCTCAATCTGTGACACCTTTCTACACTTTCTCTTTGCTCGTTCGAGTCGGGTCGGCAGTTCTTTGTTTCCTGATTTTTTCATGGACCCTGGCAGCCGCTTTCATTCAGTATGACAAGTTGGAAGCGCAGGACTGTTGCCATGAAGCCTCACTCAATGTCTACAAGAAAGAGGACATGTATCAGAAATATTTCTATTTGTCTTGCCAAAGGAGTTCTGTGAAGATGACAAGATACTCTTTGGCAACTTTTGATGCGGATGGTTGCCTAGAGCAGGTGAGCATGGCAGCCTGCCTTGAGAAACTAGCGCTGGCATATGCCTGCAGGGGCAACACATCAGAAGTTTCCGAGACTGTCAGAGTGGGTTGCTCAGCTGTAGTGCCAGAATATCTACGTTGCCAGTTCCATGGCGGTTTGCATGCCATTTCTGGGTACGAAATCTGTTTGAGCTTACCACAGTGGTTGTTTTCAACTTGGTGCGGCAGCATTGTACGCTTTCGAAGGATAAACTCAATGTCCGGCATACAATACCTCGTGCTGTTCGGTGTTATCCTTGCAGTGTTTCTTGCGCCCTTTTTGGCAGCTGTTTGTGCTTTGATCATGGTTGGTTGCTTCTCAATACCCCAAAGTGATGTGGACTTGCGCTTGGCTGTGGATGCTGAAGTACGAGACCTGCAAGAAGAACTTGACTCGCAGGGAACATCAACTATGAGCAATCTTGGACGTGCACTACTCCGATTGGACCTGATCCTGGTTTTCATGGACTTTGCGGGCGATATGCTCAGTGTTTGGACTTTTGCAAGCACCCACCATCCGTGGTTTGGGGTATTTCAGGCGCTAATTATCCTTCGCAGTGTGCCCGCCATATGGCGGTTACAACTCGAGGAAGGCATTGTAAATGAGGTTCGTCTGTCGCTCGAAGCCAACACGCTGACTGACAGCCTTTACGACCTCCTGCTCCAAGAGAAGACGGTGGAAGGCACACTAACTACGCTACTGATGACTTATGTGGTGACTTTCACGATTGACAGCCCCTTTGCCTTTAATCTGTCGCTGGCAAAGTGGGCCCTTTCGCTGCGATCGCTCACAAATGGCTGCTTCATTCACTTTCATTTAGCACAAGGTGATGCCAAGACAGACGCTTTTCTGGTCGGATTGCCGCTAGGCAAGACGACCAAAGACACCGAGTGAGAAAGTCATTCGTGCCCAGTATGCAGATGGTTAAACGCCATGCCAGCGAGGCAGGCATGCAGCAGATAAACCTGACGGAAAGAAAGGAGTAGTGCTCATGGCATGGCCTGAGTGTGGTAGTGCGGGTCCATATGGCCTTGACCGAGAGCTTTGCAAGACATATCATGTATCATGTCACAAGGGCGTATTCTTTGCATCAGCTGTTCATGCAGCTTCTTTGTGACAGGTCTTCGCAGAAGACCCTCGGTTCTTTCACTTGTTGGTGGGATACCCCAGCTGGGGAGAGGAGGACATGAAACCCTGTCCGGCCCCGGCCCCATGGTCATGATCTGACAGGGTCATGACAGGCTCTCAGGTGCTGTTTGGGGTGAGGGCAGGATGATCTATTTAGAGAAAACAAAGACACCCGTGCTCAGAAGTTCAGTCGTCCTTTTGTCCAGAACTGCAATCGCTTAACAACGATAGGGAGTAAAGATGATAGGGTTCTGCATTGTTTACACATGCACATATATTATGTAGACTTAGACGAAATACCAGCTGCTTCAACCTGTTTTGTTCAACTACTGTAGGTCAAAGGTTCATGGCTGGTCAGGCGCAGCGGCGCAGGACGTGAAGTTTGGAGGGGGCACCCGGGCACCCCCTTTTTTCCGTGGCAACACTGTCCTGTTGAGATGACCCTGGAAGGGTAGCAGTGCAGAACAGAAAGTATACCTCTGTGATCCTCCTTGCACGCCATGGTCGAACCACCGCATGGGATGCCGCTGAAACTCCCACAACAACATACATGGCAGAACTTGACAAGGCAACACCATGCCTTGTACTGTACCATTTGGAATTTGCATATTATGCCTCACGCAGCTAATCAAGAAAAGCAGCCATTTGCCAGGGTGCCTATTCAATAACCGCGTGCTCTTTGTCATTCTTAGATCTTCATAGATCTTCGGGCTTTCTCTGAGGTCTTCTTGTGTGAGCGGTTGGAAGAGCTTTTAGGTTCGGCAAGCCCAGTCGGATATGAGATGGAATTTGAGTGTCCAACTGGAGCAGGCGTGGGATGGGTGAACAAAGTCGCAACCAAGTTCTGGATTTGGACGCCAATCTATACAACTAGAAAAGGCTGATTGAGGATCATTGTGGCCGACTTGAAGAACATTTGAGGGTTTTCAGAGTTCATGTTATAAGACTAACCTCGGAGGGCATCGGGGAGCAAAGAGCTATGTGGTCTACGATACTATCGTGTTTTTGCAACAACAATTTAACAGCTGCTTCTTCTCCTACTACTACTAATACTAGAATTACAACTACTGTTAGAATTACCATGACTTGCTGCTGCTGCTGCTCCTACTACTACTGCTACTACTACTACTACTATTACTACTATTACTACTATTACTACTATTACTACATCTACATCTACATACTGCTACATCTACATACTGCATATTTATTATAAAGATGACTATCATAATACTGCTATACTAGTACTGCTGCTGTGATTGCTTGGCTTTGCTGGCTGGCGTGGTTCTTTTCTCAAGCCATGGCCTCCATGGCCCAGGCCGTTTGTCTGTGACGTCTAGAGACTGCGCCACACAGTGGGGGGGCTCAGCTTCTTTTGATCCAACTCAAAGAGGATCTGGATGTTTTATTTTAACTATAACCGATTCACCACAGGGGACCTTGCAAGCTCTCAAGAAACCGCTTTCACCCATGCTTAGCCGCGTGACGGATGACGGATCCCCTTTTCACTGCACGTGCTGCTTACAGTTGCCGCACGTTCTTGCCGGCCAATCATTCATCAGGGTTGGGTGAACAAGGTCTTGCGTTCGGAGACCCATGCACCCGAGCACTGATCGATTGATGCCTCCTCCCCATCACCGACTCAGCCGACCAAAACTTGACTTGGCGCATTGCTTCAGGTACCGCATCAGAAACAGTTAGCAGTCCGTTTGATTTCATCGTCCACCTGGACTCCTTCTTGTAAGCAATGTTTTTTCAACGACGATTCGAAGGTTTTTTTTTCAACGACGATTCGAAGGTGACAAAGTCCGAACCTAACCAAGGGATCGCGCAACAAAATTGCAGATTCCAAGCAGCGAATCTGCTGACCAGTCAATCCATGGGCATTCCACTTGCCTTCCTCATTTCGGGCTCCATCCGAGCTCCCAGGTCGGGACATGACATGGGTGTGTTTTCCTTCAATTTCCTTCAGCAAAAAGCCAGCCGTGGCCTATATATTGAATATTATAAAACGTAGTGGCTAGATTTAAAGAATCTTAAATATGTGTTCCTCAAAGAAACAAAATAACAAATATCTATATCTATATCGTCTATATCTATATATATATATACACATACATTTTCTTTCTCCGGCGGCCGCTGTGGCTGGCCGTGCTGAGGCTGGCGAAGGTGATCTCAATTGGCAAAGAGCTGCTGGATGGGTTGCCAGAGTCTGAGTCGCTGGTCACCAATTACCTAGACAACAAATGTGCTCGAAAAAACATATCATAGACTCTTGATTAATGAATTCTCCATGCCCATATGAAGAGGTTTTTCAATTCAAATGTGGGAGATTATTAATCAAGAGCCTACATTATATCATAGTATGAATATAGTGTGACATTCGTTTGGACATGGGTGTCTTCGTTGTTTTCTTGGGAGGTCAACCTGAGTATTCTACTACATCTATTACGTGTCAGTCTCAATTCAATATTACTTGTATTATACATGCCCAGACCTGAGGAGAACAACTCGTACTTGTAGTGTGTCTTAGCTAGTTTGAGGTCTAATGAGTTATCATTCAGAGATTGCTTGAGAAATCAGGCGATTTCGACTTTCTATATTCAGGAGGATCCATGCCCAGGTTTTGGAGCTGCTGAGGCTGCCAGTGCTTTTGCTGTCCATTTGTGATTTGTTGGACGGCCCCACGTGGATGCCTTAGAAGCCGAGCAGAGGCTGGTGGGCTCTGAGGTGGTGAAAAGTACCACTGCCAACGGCGCATGAGGCTGGCAAACCTCAAGAGACTCACGCACCATCCATGGTATTTTCACGGTATTGCTACTATACGTACTTCTTTGCACCTCTCGAAGTAGTAATAGTAACAGTAGCATGGAGCATCATTTATGCAAGGCGCAGACATTAAACCTCCGACCTCTGACACATGAGTCACACTTGCAGATTGTACGCGCCTTAGCTCGGGTATTTGGTCGAGCATGATCATTCATGCGAGTCGCAAGGTTTCTATATTTTTTGGGTTTCTTGAAGTTCCTCGAGTTTCAATTTCTTGAAACAACTACCTACGCTGCGTGTTTCTCTGATTTCTATGACATCGGTCACCACATGGTCTGCACTTAGGCCGTTGCTGAGCTGGAGCCTTGGAGCTGGTGCGTTCCGCTGGTGGAGCGGACTTGGAGTCATTTCCGACGACTGGGCAGTGCCTGTACAGTTGGATACAGTTGGTACATTGCCGCTTTGACAACCATGGCACATGGTCCCACAAAAAACATGGCGCATGGCTTGAGAAGGTCTTCTCCGGTGAAGTCAAGATACAACATGATACAACATATTTTTCCCAAATCCCAAAGCCACCCTTTTGTCGACGATAAGGGCGATTGGGGTGAGACGAATATGGTCCTTCCGTTGGTATGGACAACCTCGTGAGCGGATCGAAACTATTCCAACGCTTTGTTTGGAGCCCTCCTAACTATCCCAAGCCCTCCCAATCGCATCCATTCGCCTCCTTCTGTGCCCCCCCCTGACCCCTGAACTTCCTAAGATTTCCTGAGCCCTTGCTCCGTAGCATCGATGTGTTGCTCTGCCGCGCGAAAGTGGGTGAGGCATTGAAACCCTCCTGAGCTCCATCGAGGCGGAGCGTTTGCACCGGGTTCCACGAACCGGCCATGTGCCATCATGTGCCCAGATCTGGAATGAACGGGCCAAAGGGACGAGTTTAAAAGGGATGTCCAGTTTGTGTAGAGTTGGGATGTTTGACTTATGCGAAGCATACCCTCAAAGATCTCAAAGCATATCCCTCGAAAAATGCAACTACTCAAAAACACTTACTGTAAGGACATGTACAGACTGACATCTAAAGTAAGCCTATAGATTTAGGTGCTTCTGGTGTGGTAAGCCGACTATTCTCTTGTACTGTATTCCCAATAGAATCGGTCCAACTGGGAGTCGAGTTGTTTTGTTTTCTGCTGAATCCTGCAGGGGCCCTGCGGGAAGCACATCGAGCTCAGCACATCCATATCAAACTCACAGAGCGGAATCAGAACAAATAATATTGAAGAATGATGTAAGAACATGTTTTGAATGATGTAAGAACATGTAAGAATCCCTGTTTTCCAACGTTTTTTTTTTTGAAGTGCTTTTGAGACAAGACACCTCTCGGGCGTCCTCGGTGTCCTCTCTGGGCTTCGACGGTCCGAGCGGCCAGACACCGATCGACGGCTTTGCCAAGTACGGGGATCTCAGAGTCGATGGTTTGCCCATTGGACTCGTGGTTTGAAAGCTTTCTCATGCTGGGTGGAACAGCCCCGGACGGAACTCTATGTAAACCCCCAAGCTTGGATGACTGCTTTGCTTCTGGACATTTCTGGACGCTTATGTAACCACAGGGCTGGCGTGATCAGCGGCTCAAAGAAGCCGGAGTCCAGGTGATCAGCCTATGGCGCTTGGATGGCCCACGGCAGGTTCGCAGAATGGTAACATTCTGCGTGCCAAGATGGATGGTGCACAGAAGATACAGAACAGCTTGCACTGGGAAGTTGACAACTACAATGGCGAGAAGGGCGTCAACAGGCATTTCTGGATTTTGTGGCTTGCCTAAGGCTTACAGAGTCTAGATTTTCCGTACGAGCAGATTTCAGAGGCTGTGAAAGCAGTACTGTGACTCTAATCCCAACCCCTGAAGAGTTAATTCGGTTTCGTTTGTGGAACTGAGGTTGATTGCAACAGCGGTGCTTTCCAACTGCCTGTTTTTGGTGACAAACCACTTCACCTGGCAAGTGGGGCTCTTACGCGAGCCTCCCGCATCGGGATTCATTTGACGGACTCGACGAAAGCCCCTGTCAAGATTATCAAGTGGGTCCCGTTTTGGTGCGTCCTTGAATCAATGAAGAGTCTTACTACTGTACCAACAATATCCAACAATTGCATCAATTTCCCAGAAGAAGTCTTACTACCATGGAACTCCACCAGCACTTCAGTAATGGCCGAGGCAGTCCTGACTCCTGACCTGCTCAATATCCCAGGTGGGCCCAATAGTTTGTCAACCTTCGTCAACCAGACTTTTGTGTGTCCGGGTCACGGCGGTCGATTCGTCGAGGTGTGCAAAGCACCAGTGGCTTTCATCCGCACCGGTACACCTGTGAGGCACTGGACGCGCACGAACCCCCTGGTGGCGGTGACCATGAACATGGCATTGGCCTGTGGCGCCCGGCTGGTGGCGCGCGACACCATGGAGGCGGCGGGGAGCGGCTTCGCCGAGCTGAAGGCGTGGCCGCGGAGCCGGAGGGCACCGCGCCCAGGGGCCATCGCCTGGACGGGTCAGGAGGTCATGGGGGAGGAGGTGAGGGGCCAAAACGACGTAGACGTGCAAGTTCATGCATGTAGAGTCGGTTCATTCTTGAGAGAGATGTTTGAAGAGAACATTTGGACATAACATGAATTGAGCTAAACAAATGAAGGTGATGCAGATTTTCTGGGGCGCTTTTGTCAGATTTTTGGCATGGTTCTTACAGGGTATCAAGAATGGTGTGTTAAACTGTTAAGCGCTCTGTGTGCTAGACAAGAAGCGCGTTGAATATCCTTGAATGTTCTGGTGCTTTTTCAATGGCGTTGTGTTGGACCATTCAAATTCGATTAACTCGGACACTTTCTTGCAACCTTGAAGGCGATGCTCTTTGGTAAAGTTATCCTGCACTATTTGAGCCTTGTCTCGTATAAATGGATGGGTTGGAGGGAATCGGTGGGTCCCGTCGGTGTGTCACGACATGTCATGTCTGGCACATCGAGCGCAGCGGAGCGCAGCGCGCTACGCAGCTAGCGAGATCCGCCAGCGAGATCCGCAGCGCTACGCGTAGGCAGACTGGTTTCCGGCAACTTTCTGCCCCCACAGAAGCTGATTTCAGAAGCTCTCCTGGCTGTATGGGCCATGTCTCGGAGAAGCACTCTCTCCTGGCTCTCCGGAGGGGATCGAAATTGTTCAGTGATTCAAAGATATTCAAAGTGGTTCTCATCCATATTGGCACTGCCAGAATAAGTGAGTGTGTGTGCTTACGGGTGTCTTCTTTCTTTGCGAGCAGACTCTATTTTTGTTCAACAGAGTGCTTGCTAACAGTGCAAAGAAGTTTCTAACCGCCTGCTTCGTTGCTGGGAGCTTTCAAACGTCTCAGGAGTTTTCGTGTGCTTGTGGCCAAAGTGGTGGCACTGGCCTTGGGGGTGAGTGCGGGCTTGCCCTTGGGGCAAGAAGGACCGCATGTCCATGTAGCTCACTTGCATTTGGCCACTGATTGTTGTGGGTCCTTTCTGAAGAGTCTGAAATCTGATGGCGACCTGCAATGGGCCGAACCAAGACCCCTTGCTTGAAACGACCTCCATCGAGAATCGCGCGATCTGCCGTCAGATCGCCGCGTGCTTCGCGAGAATCTTGAACCCTGGCTTCTTTGACCGGTGCGTCCACCAGACGCCGCATGGGGCTGGCGGCTCTGGCTATGGCGCCGCAGTGACGATGGATTTGCAGAGGAAGTTGTTCTTTTGGAGGGTCAGTTCACTGATTGCTTACAAAAAAAAGATGCCTAGATGTTGGTGGGATTTGGGCCAACGACTGTGTTCTAAACCCTTATATAATTGCAAGATATTACAAGAACAGATGTTTTTTGGTAAAACAAAGCCGTTGGGAATTTTCCACGACTGACATGTTTCCTTTGGGTTTCACCACTCCCCTCAAGCCTCCAAAATAGAAACAGCAAAAGGAGACTAATGTAGTAGCGTCCTTGCTCCTAGTAGCGATGCCATGAGCCCCTAGTAGCTTCTTGCTCCTAGTAGTAAGGCCAGGAGCCCCTAGGAGCGTCCTTAAGAAAACATGAAGCCAAGCTTCTGCTCAGGTGGCCAAGCTTCTGCTCGCGGCCTGCGCCACCGGCTTCTCGGGCACCTTCTCCGCGCCAGTGGGCGGGGTGATCTTCTCGCTGGACAGGGGGGGCGACTGGGTCCATTTGTAGAAAGTGCGAAGATGAGGGAATTAAAGCATGTGGGAGCATGTGAATCTCCTACAGGATCCACACATTAGCGGCTATATAAGTATACACATATTATCGTGATATATATATATATATGGAGGTTAGGTTACCTGCTGAGATCGAGTCATCACAGAGTGAAAGCAACATGACTCCTTGTGAAGCTGACAATTTGATTTAAAACCTGCAGCAAGCTATTTCGTCATAGAACGAATTTTATCTAAAGTATGTCCTTTGGGTCCACGGTTGGAGTCGACCAATTGATTGGACCAAGCAAGTTTGCTCAGTTCGCTGCTTCGCTCAGTGCCACCAAATTGGTTGAGGTTCCTCCAATGTAGAGCTGATGCTTCCACAGGAGCTGATGCTTCCGCAGACCTATGACTACGATGCCTACAGGGGCTGTTTGACTGCCAGTGTCATTGGTGCGATGATCTTTGCAATGGAGAGACGCTGGGAGAGTGGGTGTCAGTGGGTGCTATATGTGCCTTCATACAAGTGACTGTTAGTCGTACGACTATGTCGTACTTACAGGCTGGAATTCGCAGGGGTCAGCGTGGGTCATTCCGGTTGCGTCCTTCCTTGGTGTCAAAGGCGGTGACCACTGAAGGTGCGAGAGGAGTCATTTGCCTTGGGACGAAACGATCGCCTTGATGGTGGAGAAGCTTAGGTCGAGTTGCGATTTGCTAGGCTTCACATGGCTTCACGGAGATTGAAATTCATCCGGTCTTCTTTCAGAAAAGATTATAATCGCATGTTCTGCTTTGGTCATCAGGCTTCAACGACGGCATGCCTAAGAATCCCATTGTTTTTCGGTCGACCGAGGAAACGTGTGGCAGTCGGGGCGACCCTTGGTGACCAGCAACGTGCTGCCGGGGGAGGGTGACATCACGGAATTTCCACTTCTAACACTGTTGACGGTGCCTGGACGGCTGAACTTCGGGGTGTTTGTTGGATGAGTCTGGGATGATCATGCGAGGATCATTGGAGGAGGAGCATGAGGACGAGGACTGGGTTAAAAGTTGGAGTTGGAGTTGTTTGGATGGAAGGGCTGACAATGGAGTCAGACGCTTGATGGTGTAGAAACGCCGTGATTCTTAATGGTTGTTATATATATATATGTAATATTTATATAATGATATGGTCATGGGATTGACTTGGGTTTTTGACAATGTGTTCATCCCCATCATTAGCCGTCCTGGCTTGCCAGGTAATGTTTCTGAACTTGAAGGCCTCAGGGAGAAAGGTCTCAGCATTCATTTGCATCCTGGTATTTTCAGAGTTTTCCCATACTGACCGTACTTTTTGTGACCTCGCCCGTCCCAAGGTCTCCCTTGGCCTTGGGATCCTTTGTGGCTTAGCTGGTGGGATCTGGGTCCGCAGCCACTCCTGGGTGGCCAGCACCCTCCGGCGCCTGGTGCTACGCAGCGCGCAATCGCGGCCGCGCTTGAAGACGGTGGCCACGCCCCTGCTACGCTTTCCACGCGACGCACGGCTTTCAACCATGAGAGGCGTGGGGAGGGGGTGGTGTTGGTTGATTCTTTAGCTTATTGGTCAGCTTGTTGCATCTTGTTGGTAGCTGTTGTGGATTCTTTGTCCAAGGGTTCATTGAGCACTAAGTTCTTCGAAGAGTCGCATCTAGGATGGGGTGCAACATCGCTGGTCAGGAGAATTTGGTGGTTTCTAAAGCTTGCTTGCCTGTTTACATGGCCCATCATGTCCCCCAAGGTTTCATCATGTCCCCCAAGGTTTCTTTTTAAAGACATTGTACGCTTTATGCTCCACTTGCAGATTGGGTCCATTCCGCCGTTCAATTCAAAATGTTTACGATTCACCACAGGTGCCGCCTGAATATGCCTGAATGACATTGCTTGTTTGTTTCTGTTTCCTGTTTTACGAGTACTGTAATATTGTGAATTTGTATGCATTGGAACATGCATATCATGATATGAGATGGCGGCCCTCTCATGTGACCATTTTGGCACAAGGGCCCTTGAGTCTGGCTCATCCGAGCCCCCGACGGTTGCGCAATGGAAAAGTGAGCGTACCGCTTGCTTTTGATCGTGACGGAGTTCTTTGATCCCCGTTGGTTGAGTTGTGACAGTTGCCTTTACAAGTTGCTGTTGATCCTCCGCTCACCATTTTACATGGTAGCGGAGCTGCCAAGCTCCAGGATTGCTTTGTGAGGTCCCGGCCTGATCCCGGGTGCGGTGCAAACCGCAGAGC